TTCAGAGCTTTGAAAACCTGTACAAGGACTGTTTGCTCGGCAGTTTAAGAAAGCTGTTTGCTCCAGGGCTGGGCAGAACAGTATCGGCCCCATGTGGCTGGGCCTGTGGGAAATTGCTTCACGACATGCTCTAACAGATTTAGGATGAGAACATGACAAAATGGTGCAGTTTGAGAAAGAGTGAAATCAAAGAGCTTCCCCCCCCCCCGCAATGATATCAATATTATATTATTTTATAGGCATGTGGCTGCTCTAGATTTAGACCAAGCTTTATTCAGCAGATATATTCTCATCGTGCCCAGAGAGAGAAATATCTGCCTCTACCTAGGATCGAAGTCACAGCCTCCCGATGGTGAGGTGAGAACTCCCAACTCTAGGCCACCACACTACTCAAACCCGCAATATCATCATCTTATCCAAACTCATGTTAGCCTGATTTAAGGGGGCTACACCGCTCTAGCCACTGAGTTTGCAAAACACATTTACTCAGTTAACAATGGTTTACACAGTATTGAATTAATCAATTGCTTGGCTTTGCCATATACACAGCAATGTAAACTGAGCAATTATGTGGTTGCTAAGAGTCAACACCGATTTGATGGTATATAATGTTGAGTGAACCCATCCATGCAGTCTCAGGGCTGGCTTTATGTATCCTTGAGCTGAGTTACAGTCCTTTGGAAAGAAAAGGAAAGGAAAGGAAAAAGGAAAGGAAAGGAAAGAAAAAAAAGAAAAAAGAAAGAATTACATTTCTCAGGAGGAGTTTGGATGGGGCTTGGCATGATTCAGAACCTCAAAATATAAATTGCCCTCATTCAGCCTGCTAAAGTTAGCTGCTGAGTATAATTTACTAATACAGTGCACCAAAGTACTAAATTAACCCATTGGGTCAGGCCAACAACATGCTAAGCTATCAACAAAATAAAATAACATCATTTCAAACTGACATGTAATGTTAATGCTTCTAGGTCTGTTTTTGAACTGATTAATTGTTGTATGAAGATAGATGGTAAATTAACATGTATGAGCCAGCTCTGTAGAATGCAAGGTTCCATGAAAAACAATATGGCAAACATGTCCCAAAGGTGCTTTCTCAAGAGGCAACTGGACTTTCTGGGGTTTTTTTTGAAGACATTTCACTTCTCATCCAAGAAGCTTGAGAAGGTCTTCAAAGAAAACCAAGAAAGTCCAGTTGCCTCTTGAAAAAGCACCTTTGGGACAACCACGATCTGGATGACCAAGAATCTCCACAGCAGGGGTGAAATCCAGCAGGTTCTGACAGGTTCTGGAGAACCGGTAGCGGAAATTTTGAGCAGTTCGGAGAACCCGCAAATACCACTGTAGGAGGTTAGCACCCACCCCTTTCCTAGGAGAATGAAATATTTTGGGAAATATCAATAAGGCAGAATATTATGTTTCCCTGGATGAGAAATGGAGACACATATTTTGAAGCAGCTCCCATCTTCCTGCCCCCACCCTTTGTCAATGGGCCATTAAGGCCTGGGCCAGTCTATTCTACATAACAAAGATCTACCTCCTTCAGGCAGAGCCATAGTAGGAATTGCCAAAGATCCAACAAAGATAGGATTAGCCCTCTACCCATCTAGCAACAGAAACTCACCACATGGCACCTGGGAAGATTATATCAGCCAGCAAGGCTAGCTAAAACCCCCACCCCTGGGAGTCTGAGAACCAATCAGGATACTCTTTCGGGGCCCCAGGAAATGCAAAGCCAGAGAGAGCATAAAAACCCGAGGATTTACTGTATCTGCCCTTTTCTGTTCAGGAACTTAAGCCATGTATGTGATCCTGTCCAACATTAAACCATCTTTCCAAGCAGTCTCCATGTTTCCAGTGTCTGTTTCCCCACTTGGAGCAGAACCCAGAAGGATGTTTCTTCCAACACCACCTCTGGCTGGCCCCCGAGTGGGGTGGGAATGAAGATTTTGCAGTATCCTTCCCTTGCCACACCCACCAAGCCACGCCCACCAAGCCACACCCACAGATCTGGTAGTAAAAAAATGTGGATTTCTCCACTGCTCCATAGACATATGGCAAACATGCTTACATGTTTCCAGCAAGCCTTCCCAGATTCTTTTTTTTTTTAAATATACTTTATTGAATTTTTCCATTATAAAAGAAAATATATACAATCTCTATCTCCTTCAGAGATACAGTGTTTATACAATTTGGTGAGTCCTATATTAAATAAACTTCATCCTTAACTATACAAAATTCTATGCAATATAACTCGATTTCGAGTACAAAACAAGTCATATCCTATAATCATGTTTTTGTCTTGTTCTTCAACCAATTGTACCAATTTCCCCATACTTCATAATATTTAGATTTCTCCTCATTATTTATCTCACTCGTCAATTTTGCCATTTCTGCGCACTCTAGGATTTGCCTTCCCAGATTCATCTCCCAGGTGGCCCCTGGCCCAACCTGTTTTCTGATTCTACCTCCAAGGGAGTCTATATCACCACCCTCCACACAGAAACTGCTGAAGTTGCTAATCACACTGGGTGTGAAATTGCTTTGATCAAGCAAAAGATTCTAAGCAAGTATCTTACTTTGCTAGTGAAACACACTTTGTGTAGTTTGGGCTTCATCTTAACCGAGAACAACAATTATTCTTATTTTGGCCCTCCAGTCCTACCATCCAGAATCACCGGTCATTCTGACTCCGGCAAGGGGATAACACATCTGGAAAACATCACAGTTTGGGAGTGAGTGTACTCCCTGAGAGCCATCTGGCTCTTGTATTTTTGATGGAGAAGGTAGGTTTTGGGAAAATGTGATCTTATCATCATTAAAAAAAAATAGCACTATGTTTCCTAAAATAAATGCAAACTCTTGTGTTTTAACGTGGTGACCTTGTTTCTTTAAATGATTGTCAGAGTGGGTCAAGGTGTTACTCGGGTGTAGGAAGCCCAATTTTTTTTTGTAACAGAATGACGGAAGGGACCTTGGAGGTCTTCTAGTCCAACCCTCTGCTCAAGCAAGTCTTGAACATGTTCCTGTTTTGTGGTTTGGTTGTTATACAAAGCTTAAAGCTGGCTGGGGAATTCTGGGAGTTGAAGTCCACAAGTCTTAAAGTTGCCAAGTTTGGATACCCCTGCTGTTACATGTTTCATCAATAAATGAAATAACTTAGAATGAAAACACATCCCATACCAAAATAATTTACTACACAACGGTGACCTTTCTGCATTACAGACGTTGGTTGGATACCAGAGGTGGGTTTCAGCAGGTTCTGACCAGTTCTGGAGAACCGGTAGCAGAAATTTTGAGTAGTTCAGAGAACCGATAGTAAAAATTCTGACTGGCCCCACCCCCATCTATTCTCTGCCTCCCAAGTCCCAGCTGATTGGAAGGAAATGGGGATTTTGCAGTAACCTTCCCCTGGAGTGGGATGGGAATGGAGATTTTACAGTATCCTTCTCCTGCCAAGCCCATCAAGCCACACCCAGAGAACCGGTAGTAAAAAAATTTGAAACCCACCACTGTTGGGTACACATAATACGCTTAACCTAGTCCTGTTCCAGAATTCCCCACTATATTAGGACACGCTAAACCTGGCCAATGTTAATCTTGATTAGTTTGGGTGTGGTTGAGTATGCAGCATGAACCAAGACTTCTGGGGCTAATTTGTTTAATTACAAAGTTTATAATTTAGATATGGGTCTAATTTAGATATGTGCATCTGGGGTGGTGCACACAGTTAATAACAAAAACCAAACCATCAAAACAATTGAAAAACAAAACCATAAAAGTGCAATTAGAAACTATAAATAGAAGGGGGGAAAAAAACCACAATTCACAAGAAAATGAATTCCAAAACTTAAGAACAATGGTTATCACTTGGCAGCCTCTACTGCACAGTCCATGAGATTCCTGGCTTGATGTCAAAAATAGATTTTAAGGACTTTGTGGAAAGTCAGTCAGATGGGGGCCAATGGGTGTGGGGGGGGGCGAGGAAAATGAAGTTCCACTGGGAAAGTGCCACAACATAAAAGCTTTCCTTTCCTGGAATTGCCAGGTGAGGCTCCTTAGCCCAGTTGTGCAAACCCCAGAAAGTGTTAGGATGGGCATATTGTATATAATAATCACAGCTGGTCCATCTGCAGATGCTCTTCCTGCCTTCTGAGATAGCCTTTCAGCAGTGGTGGGATTCAGGTAATTTAACAACCAGTTCTCTGCCCTAATGATTTCTTCCAACGACCAGTGTGCCAAACTGTTCAGAAAGTTCTCCAGAAGTGGTGCAAACTGGCTGAATCCCACCACTGCCTTTCAAGAAAAGCTGTTTTTAAAAAAACGATGAACTCACCATGCCAAAAAAAAAAAAAAGGCTGAGTCACTTGCCGAAGAGCAACGTAGTTACACGGCGGTTACGACTATTATCAGATTTGCGTTGCAGTACCCCGGATGGCCTCTAGAGGGCACCATAACTCCCCCACCCCGCCCTCTAGTGGCCGTCCCGTTTTCGCAATCCGGAACGTTTTAACAAGTCATCGCGCTTCCCTTTCGTATCCTAGCTAAAAGGTTCAAGGCTCGCTCTTTTTCGCGGGTGTTCATTATTTCCCTTTCCCGTGCATAAAGTAACGTCTGAAATCAGCTGGGGGAAAAAAAAACAAACCACGACCCCTTTTCCTAAATCCCAAACCCAGGCTTGCAAAACAGCCCCTCCCTTGGATCGACCAAACTTTCCCCGGGGACCGCTTGCGATCCCCCCCACACCCCCGACCCAACTTTCGCACCGAGCCGGCGAAAGACAAGAAACCCCCCCTCTCTTTTTGCGCTCGGAGGGGCGTCCCAGGCAGCCCCCTGCCGCTTCCAAGACGAGCGGCTCTCTCTCCCGAGGCGGCGGCTGACCTCCAGGGACCGAAGCTACGCGAAGCTGGGTCGGGAAGAGCCGAAAGGCTTCTAGCGAGTTCCAGAGCGGGGTGGGCGGACCGGCGGCGGCGGCGGCTGCTCTGGCTATAAAACGGGGACCGCCCAGGCTCTCCGTCTGCGTCTCGCGGTGCAGTCGAAGCTTGCTGGATCGGTTGTTGCAGAGCCGCCAACGCCGCTGTTTTCCCTCCTGCTGCGCCATGGACATCGCCATCCAGCACCCCTGGCTCCGCCGCCCCATGGGCTTCCCTTCGCTCTTCCCGCCTCGCCTTTTCGACCAGAGGTTCGGCGAGGGGCTGATGGAGAGCGACCTGCTCTCGGCTTCCCTCTGCCCCTACTACATGCGCTTCCCCCCCATGCAGATGCCCAGCATGCCGGACACGGGGCTGTCGGAGGTAGGCGCAGCTTTAGAGGGTCTCTCCCTCTTCCCTTCCTCTCCTACTCTCCTCTCCTCTCCTCTCCTCTTCCTCTCCTTCTCTCCCTTCCTCTCCCTCCCCCCCTCTCTCTTCCCTTCCCTTCCTCTCCCTCTCTTTCTTCTCTTCTCTTCCTCTCCTGCTCTCCCTTCCTCTCCCTCTCTCCTCTCTCTCTCCTTCTGCCCCTTCCCTTCCTCTCCCTTCCCCTTCTTCCCTTCCTCTTCCTCTCTCTGTCTCCCTCCCTTCCTCTCTCTCTCTTCCCTTCCTCTCCCTTCCCTTCCTCCTCTTCTCTTCTCTTCTCTTCTCTTCTCTTCTCTTCTCTTCTCTTCTCTTCCTCTCTCCCTCTCTCTCTTCCCTTCCCTTCCTCTCTCCCACTCTCTCTCTTCCCTTCCCTTCCTCTCTCCCTCTCTCTTTCCTTCCCTTCCTCTCTCTTCCCTTCCTCTCTCCCTCTCTCTCTCTTTCCTTCCCTTCCTCTCTCTTCCCTTCCTCTCTCCCTCTCTCTTTCTTCCCTTCCCTTCCTCTCCCCCTCTCTCTCTTCCCTTCCCCCCCTTCTCCCGCTCTCTTTTTCCGGGGCTGGGAGGGTCTTGGGGAACCGTCTAGATATCCTGGGGCAGGACTTGCGTCGGACTTTGGCCGGTGGCGGGTGAGTTTGTTCTGGGCCCCCGCCCCCCTTCCCCACCTCGCCGGCCGTGGACTCGCGTGCCGAGGACGCCGTGGGGTGGGGGGGGGGACTGGGGCTGCGCTCATCTTAGCCGGCAAAAGGGCGAAAAGGGTCGGACCCGATGAGTGAAAGGAAGCGGGCCAAGGCACGGGAAAAGGGATGGGGGGGGGTGCCAAGCGGAATGACAGAGCCCGCTGCCTATTATGGTAACGTTCTGTTCCCCTGGCCCAGCCGAAAGGACAATGCTAACCCAATTGCCCTCCAGGCCAGCGGACTGGCATACGGCAGGCAGCCCTTAAAGGCGTAAAAGAAACCCAATCCTGTTGGATGGCTGCCTGCCTGCCCCTTGCCCTTGGCTGGCTCCCTTGACTAGAACCCCAGCGGGAACAGAGGAAGAAGCTGTTCCTTGGCCCCGATTGCAACTTGGCTTGGGAGGCCAACCAGGAGCCACTTTGGCTCGTGCTAAGTAAAACCCACCCATGGCGGCTTGTCAATCATTGGTTAAGATTGATGGATCGCAGGCACTTGGCCAGCTGCAGTTAATTCTGTAGACCGTGGCTTAATGCACTCTCCAAACTCACCTCTTAATTAACTTCACAATACTTTTCTCTGGAGCAGGATAGGTGATGTTCCTGTTAAACTATTCTTTTTTTTCCCCCAAAAAATCCTATCATGGGAAGCCTTTGGGGGTGCAAAGCACCTCCTCTTTCCCTGGAGTTTGACTTCTTGCCTTGTTTCCATTATTGAACATGAAGATTTGGAACAGCGAGGAGGCTGTTAGTTTAGTTTCAAGGTACCCCCTGCCAAACTTTTAAAGCCAGAAAGCAACCCGAGGAAGCCATTCAAGTAACATGGTTTCTTGTTTCTGCAGGATGAATTGAACCAATACAAATAATGGGGTGCCCCAATTTATGCAGATCTTTGATTTATATGCTGCCCTTCTCCGGAGACTCAGGGCGGCTTACAAAGCTTTTAAGCAATAGCCTTCATACTTTTGTATATACCTGCTTAGTAGGGGCTTTTGGCCCCTCCTAAGTGGTTCTTTTTTATACAAAGTCAGCTTATTGCCCCCACAAACCGGGTTCTCATTTTACCTACCATGGAAGGCTGAGTCAACCTTGAGCCTGGTGAGAATTGAGTTCACAGTAATTGCTGGCAACTAAATACTACTTTAACAGTAGTTTAGTCCACTGCATCACCAGGCTCCTTAACAATTGTAGCAAGAGAGGCTGGGCATTGGACCGATAGTTTTTTGATGGATGGCTGTTGCCTAGTAACATAAGCAATGGTCCCACCCTACATAACTTAGTGGGTGGTTTCTGATTGGTTGTTGTAGAAACACAGATGCCCTACAGCTATGGCACGTTTATAATCTGTGCACCTATGAGATACTTGCACTCTCATGTTTTCCAATCGGTTCAATTGCTGGATTTCCTTGAGTGATGGGGAAAAAAATCTTGCATTTTGCCTGCTGCCCAGGATAATAGCAATAGCACTTAGACTTATGCTTTAATCTTTACAGCCCTCTCTAAGTGGTTTAGAGAGTCAGCATATTGCCCCCAACAATTTGGGTCCTCGTTTTACATACACACACCCCTTGGAAGGATGGAAGTCTGAGTCAACTTTAAGCCTGGGGAGATTTGAACTGCCAAATTGCAGGCAGCTGGCAGTCAGCAGAAGTAGCCTGCAGTACTGCACTCTAACCACTGTACCACCGTGGTTGGCTGAGATTAAATTATGGGTGGAATCTCTTTCCAGAGGAAATGGCTAAATCCAGGGGTATCCAGACTTGGCAACTTTAAGACCTGTGGACTTCAACTCCCAGAATTCCCCAGCCAGCCATGGGGAATTCTGGGAGTTGAAGTCCACATCAAAGGTGGGTTGCTCCCGGTTTAGTCCGGTTCTTGCGAACTGGTAGTAATGGTGGCGGGAGGCTCCGCCCACCCACCCAATGGACGTTATGCACAGAAGTGCTCACACACGCACGCACACGCATGCACACACAAGCAAAGCAAGCAAGCGCTCCCGTTGCGAACCGGTAGTAAAAGTAAGTGGAACCCACCCCTGGTTCACATGTCTTAAAGTTGCCAAGGTTGTACACCCTTGGCTTAAAAACCAATACAGTTTAACTGTGTATGTCTGTAGAACTACCCAAGACAGCAAATGTTCTCTGCTAGATTCAGAAAGGCTGGTAGTTTCTCACCCACTTTTTCTCCCCTTCCTTGATTCCAGATGAAACTGGACAAGGATAAGTTCTCTGTCTTGCTGGATGTCAAGCACTTTTCACCAGAAGAGATACATGTGAAGGTGGTAGGCGACTACATTGAAGTACACGCCAAACACGAGGAACGTCCGGTATGTAGCTTTTGTTACACCTTCTGTTGTTTTACCTTGTCAAAAACCGAGATTGGCGTGGGTGAAACTGTATTTTAAAGCCGCATTTTAAAACCTGTGTTTAACTTGGAACACAAATTGAATTTGCATTCCTCAGCATTTTCACACACAGATGCATTCCAGGTCGGATATGAAAAGGTTGATCTTGCACAAAGTGCTTAATCCCACCCTTGGGTTAATAAACTGCAATTTAGATATATTCAAGCAGTCTTCAATGTACAACCACGATTGAGCCCAAACTTTCCCTTGCTAAGTGAGGCCCTGGGACACTGCAAATGAGTCAATTTATGAGTCAGTTGCCAAGTGTCTGAATTTTGATCACATGACCATGGGGATTCTGCAATGGTCATAAGTATGAAAACCGTCATAAGTCACTTTTTTTCAGTGCTGTTGTAATTTTGAACGGTCGCTAAACAAATTGTTGTAAATCCAGGGCTATCCATATTCATATAATCTGGGTTCAAACATTTAAACCTTATGACTTAACGTGATGCCTTGATTTTTTCCAATATGCTGAACCACAGATTATCTTATTTTGGTCTAGTTTAGCGTGTGTTGGCTGTTAATGTACTAATAGCCTAAAATCATCCATGCAACACAACACAAAAAGGACTTTAAAATATTTCTGAGATTTACCTGTTGAGAGTTCTAACAATGGGAGATAGGATCATGATCTAAATTACTTGAACGACCTCATATTTAAACTTTTTTTTTTTGGCTGCAGTTAGAGACAAAGCATCAGTGGTGGGTTTCAAAAATTTTTACTAGCAGTTCTGTGGATGTGGCTTGGTGGGCGTGGCATGGCTTGGTGGGCGTGGCTTGGTAGGGATGGCAGGGGAAGGATACTGTAAAATCTCCATTCCCACTCCACTCCACTCCAGGGGAAGGTTACTGTAAAATCCCCATTTCCTCCCGATCAGCTGGGACTTGGGAGGCAGAGAATAGATGGGGGTGGGGCCAGTCAGAATTTTTACTACCGGTTCTACGAACTACTCAAAATTTCCGCTACTGGTTCTCCAGAACTAGTCAGAATCTGCTGAAACCCTCCTCTGCAAAGCATGTATTACACCTGGGACACCACCCAGTTTTGGGTAAAAAATTTGTTGCTTTTGGCACCAGTGGAATATTTTAAATTTTGGGCAGCTCTTTTGGATGCTTTCCTGAAATATCACCTACATATTGTTTGTAGATTTGCAGAATGGCTGCCTTCATGGCTTTCGCCTTTTACAAAATCCCCACTTCCCTCACTTAGCAACACAAATGTTTGGCTCAATTGTGATCGTAACCCGGGGACTACCTGTAGTATCAGCTCATCGCTTCCCTGTTTTGCCATTCATCCCTCTTGTCTCGCTCTGTTCTTCCAGGACGAACACGGCTACATCTCCCGGGAGTTCCACCGTCGCTACACGATCCCCAAGGGGGTCGATCCGGCAGCTATCGTCTCCGCCTTGTCTCCGGAGGGGGTGCTCTCCATCACTGCCCCCACTAAAACCCCCGCATTGGAACGGAGCATTCCCATCACTCGCCAAGAGAAGCCAGCTGTCACTGGAAAATGAGAGAGAAGCAGCCTGGCCCAGAATTTTTCATATTCCCCCCCACACCCCCATTAGATACCAGCATTGTGAGCTTGGACTCCCCTTGCTTGTAGGTACAAGGTTGTTCACCCTTAAGCCTTTAAGGAAGCGACGTTCCTTTCCTACCCTGCTAATGGCTGCTGGGATGCTGACAGCAAAGACTCTGTTGTCGTCAAATTTCAGTCCATCTACTGGAGAAGAAGGTGCCATTTTCTTCCTCTGGCTAGAAACATCTCTCTTCTTTTGCAGGCTTACTCTGTACCACTCTTCATACTGAACTGACTTCCTTGTATAAATACCCATTTGCAATAAAGTGCTTTTTTGCTTAAGAGCCAAATGTTGCCCGAGGGATACTTGCCAATAAACCTGAAGTTATTATCCTTTCTTTAGGGAAATGGAATGGATGCAATTGCTGGTTTAGCGTGAAGGAAAGGAGCTGTGGGGTGTGAACCAGTGGTGGGATTCATAAAATTTTACTACCGGTTCTGTGGGTTCTGTGGGTATGGCTTGGTGGGCATGGCAGGGGAAGGATACTGTAAAATCCCCATTCCCACCCCACTCCAGGGAAAGGTTACTGCAAAATCCCCATTGCCTCCCGATCAGCTGGGACTTGGGAGGCAGAGAATAGATGGGGGCGGGGCCAGTCAGAGGTATTTACCAGTTATCCGAACTACTCAAAATTTCCACTACTGGTTCTCCAGAACTGGTCAGAACCTACTGAATTCCACCTCTGGTGTGAACATGGTTGACATTAGCTTGGCCTTGATATTTAATCTCAGGCCAAGTTTTCCATGTGCTCCTTGATTTTTATTTTTACAATATCATGCATATCATTTGCATTTTCGTCTATCATGCCCATGTTACAAAGTTGGGGAGGGTAAAATAAAATCTCTGCTTTGTAAAAACAAATTTCTAATTAATGGGTAAAACTACTCTGTTTCCCTGAAAATGAGACCTCCCAGGATAATAAGCCCAATTGGGCTTTTGAGTGCATATGCTAAAATAAGCCCTCCCTGAAAATATTTAAACACATGCGCAGCTGGTCCATGCCATTTCCTCTGTTTAGGGCAGGGTCAGCAACCTGTGGCTCTGGAGCTGTAGGTGGCTCTTTCACCCCTCTGCTGCAGCTCCCTATCACTCAAAATATGCATCACAACCGCCAATGTGTGACACCCGTCGGCATGTGATTTATTGAGCTTTTCAACCCCTGGTAGGCCAATCATGTATAAATCCAAGAAAAGAGAAGTTTCAGAAGAAAACAGAACGTTTAATTCAACAACATATGCTAGTTTTGTGGCCGCTCACGAAATAGGCAGGCAGGGGAAGGGTTTTGTGGCTCCCGGTGTTTTCTTTTCTGTGGGAAACGGGTCCAAATGGCTCTTTGAGTGTTTAAGGTTGCAGACCCCTACATTAGGGTTAGGGAGACAGAACTGGAAATCAGGTAAGATGGCAAGAGGAGCCCCGTCTTGTTCCAAGCACTCCAAAATAATAAGACCTCCCTGAAAATAAGGCCAGGAGCTTATTCGGGGTTCAAAAAATATAAGACAGGGACTTATTTTCAGAGAAACACGGTAGTCCTGTGAATGATAAACTAGATCTTCACATAAAAGATTTCCCTGCTAATGAACTTAAGGAGAAGGACTATGTTATAGGTTCTTCTGCAGAAAGGGGGCAGGAGCAGGGAGTGGGATAGGCGTACACCAATAACCATCCTTTATAAATGATAATTCCTAATTTCCATGTTGAAAGGAAAAGAAAATGCTTTTAGTTAACAAGGTAGAGAACAAAAGACTTTTGAAATGTGCCAAGGAGAATGTTGCAGCCAGGTGGATGCAAATCATACAACCAGATACACAATGCCCATGAAAGGAATTGTTTCTTGAATCTGTTGGTACTTGTCTATATTAAGTTTAATGAGGACATTAAAAAAACTAATCTCCACCCAGTATTAGGAGTAGAGATGGCTTTCAACTGCATTCTTTCCTGAATGGATTGTAAAGGAGGTATTGACGCAAGACAAATTAGGTGTGGCAAATCCAATGGAAAGCTACCAAACTTATTTTAAACATTTAGCCAACAGTGAAATCACACAGTTTCAAGATGCAATTCTGGGGCAACTATTGGGTTGGTGCCACTCAGCTTTTAAAAAACTGCCTTTTGCAAAGATTTAACATGCAATTTGGCATATTATTTGCCTGGGAGTTGGCCAGACTGCCATCTTTACATTTGGCTTTGCCAAGTATCCCTATTTGGCTTTTGGTGTATAGGTACAGCATTGCTCTATATATTTCTCTATAGATTTTGTACTGAATTTCTAGATCGGGGTGTCTATAACCTTGGCAATGTTAAGACTTGTGGACTTCAACTCCCAGAATTTTGGCTGGGGAATTCTGGGAGTCAAAGTCCACAAGTTGAATTCCGGGAGTTGAAGTCCACAAGTCTTAACATTGCCAAGGTTGGATACCTCTGAGCTAGATTCTTCTATAGATTTTAGGCTCTTCTGGATTCTAGTTATCTATAGCTATCTATAACATCTTAAATCATACCGCCGTCCAAATTATTTCCTAAACATTTAAATGCTGCTTTGAAAAGCTGTCGGTGGCTTTTTGAAACGAAGGATTTCAAACACTCTTAGCAGATCCTTTCCTAGGAAACCCTTTGCATGAGTTAAAAAAGGAAGTATAGAAAAATGGGTAATAAACTCCATAATGAAGGACATGGATCACATGTTGAGAAGTAGGTTATAATCTGGTCAGATGGCTTAGGGTTCAGCAAGACCCCTCAGGTCTTGACCTGTTGAGTAAACCAGGCCAGTATTAAATTTGTAATGGGCATTAAATGTTAAGTGAACACAACTGTTTAGCATCAGGAATAAAACACAATGAAAGTGGCGAGGCTGCCGCTGCCGGATCGTGTTTGCATCAGCTCCTCTTGGTTTTATTCTATTTTATCAATTTTAGAATACCCATTGGATCCTTTTTATTTAAATAATATTTTTCGGAGACGATAACGGCATAGACCACAACACAGGCAAAGTTTTGGCTGCTGAGGACTAATAAGGCATGGGGAAAAGAAAGAAGCACCATGGCACCAGCCCGGGATATCTCTCCCACCACTGAAGAATGCAAAACAACCAAAAATCGACGAGCACTTTGCTGGCAAGAGATTTGTAAGTAAAAATATCCCCCAGCAGTGGTGGGTTCCTCCCGGTTCCGCCGAACTGGTAGCGGTGACGATATGACGTCACCGAACTGGTTCTGCCGGTTCTGCCCCCCCACCCCCCTCCATTATTCTTATCTTTTATTTGGCCCCACCTCCAATCTATTGCACCCCCAATCTATTGCTGCCTCCCGTGGGGCTTCAAAGGGCCGCCCTACAGCTGATCAGTGTTAAGAGAAAACAAAGAGTAGATCGGTGCCTGCAAAAATAAATGGGTAGACCAGTGCCTGCAAAAATAAATGAGTAGACCGGTGCCTGCAAAAATAAATGGGTAGACCAGTGCCTCCAAAAACAAATGAGTAGACCGGTGCCTGCAAAAATAAATGGGTAGACCATTGCCTGCAAAAATAAATGAGTAGACCGGTGCCTGCAAAAATAAATGGGTAGACCATTGCCTGCAAAAATAAATGAGTAGACTGGTGCCTGTAAAAATAAATGGGTAGACCAGTGCCTCCAAAAATAAATGAGTAGACCGGTGCCTGCAAAAATAAATGGGTAGACCAGTGCCTCCAAAAACAAATGGGTAGACCAGTACAGCTCTGCAAGCAGTTAAAAGCCTGGTAGTCCAGTACCTCTGTTAAATCCTAAATAATTGTCACATGACCATCAAGCCATGCCCACAAAATAAGCCACGCCCACAGAACCAGTAGTAAAAAAATTTAGAACCCACCCCTGGGTTAGAACGGGGCCTGCAAAGAGGTCTGACAAAACAGCAGATACTAGACTTTCCCGATCTGGGGGGGAGGGGAGCAAAATGACAGCCAGCTGTTTTCACAAACAACGAGTCCAGCTACAGCCGGTATGGAGACTGAGATAAAGACTAAAAAGGTTAACAACAAATTAATTCAGAGTGTGGAGAGCTTACCGTGGGAGAATACAAGACAGTTTATGGCAAAGCAATGCCTTCTCACAGCTCAAGAGGTTGTTTCAATATTTGAACAACTAATAACCATATTAATAATAAAAAGGCATTAAGGGTTGTAAACCTAATCTTGTGTAGCTTCTTCTCCGGTAATATTACACTACTAACCAGAGCATACAAAACCTTTGCTAGACCAATTCTCGAATACAGCTCATCCGTCTGGAACCTGCACTGCATATCGGACATTTATACAATTGAACGTGTCCAGAAATATTTCACAAGAAGAGTCCTCCACTCCTCCGCTCGCAACAAAATACCTTATGCCACCAGACTTGAAATTTTGGGCTTAGAAAATTAGAAACTACGCGCCTTCAGTCTGACCTAAGCATAGCTCATAAAATCATCTGCTACAATGTCCTACCTGTCAATGACTACTTCAGCTTCAACCATAACAATACACAAGCACACAATAGATACAAACTTAAAGTGAACCGCTCCAAACTCGACTGCAGAAAATATGACTTTAGCAACAGAGCGGCCAATGCCTGGAATGCACTACCTGACTCTGTGGTTTCATCCCTGAACCCCCAAAATTTTAACCTTAGACTGGCTACTGTTGACCTCACCCCATTCCTAAGAGGTCTGTAAGGGGCGTGCATAAGAGCCCCAGCGTGCCTACCGTCCCTGTTCCAATGTTCCCTTTAATTGTATTCATTTTATGTATTCAATTCATGCTTATACTTATATATATTATCTAACACGTACACAACAAATAAATAAATAAAATAAAAAATAAACATGAGAGACACTGCAAAAAGATATAGCTGTTTTTGTGCAAACACAACATCCACCTTGGTGGCCTTGGTGGCGCAGCAGACTAAAGTACTGTTAAAGTAGCACTTAGCTGCCAGCTGCCTGCAATTATTACGAGTTCAAATCTCACCAGAGTCAAGGTTGACTCAGCCTTCCATCCTTCCAAGGTAGGTAAAATGAGGACCCAGATTGTGGGGGCAATAAGCTGACTTTGTATAAAAAAGAACACTGCTTGGGGTGGGCGGGGTGGGTGGGCAAAGCCCTACTAAGCAGGTATATACAAAAATATGAAGGCTACTGCTTAACGCATTGTAAGCCGCCCTGAGTCTCCAGAGAAGGGTGGCATATAAATCGAACCAATAAACAATAAACATCGGGCTACAGGCAACCAAAGTGTCCCTTTTCAGCCCTACCGTCTCCAAATTCATTTCAGCAGATCAAGCCATATTTTGTTGCAACATTGCATATTATTTTAACACTGCACTGAGATTGTAAACCATGTTTGATGGCTTGTTCATCTATGATTTGTTTTTACGATTCATTAGGAGTTCAACCATAGCAGGACAGAACCGTCAGATGCAGCCACAATTGAAAGCTGATGTCAGGGAAAGATTTTTAGATGTTGGCTGTTCACCTTGTACCTTTGGGAACAACTGAGTCATGTGTGCGTGATTGATGTACCAGCTGCACAGGATCATCTTAAATCAGGCTACTCCTTAAGAGTTGCAGCATAGGCCATCTTAACAATGATTTCCCCCCCTTAAAATGCATCTCTGGATGGCTAGAAAACCTTCTCTACTTGAGTCCTGTCTAGCAGGACTCAAAAGAATTGGTGTCGGGTGCTGGAGCATCGTATTCCTTTGCATGTGAGGAAGAAAAAAACACAACAACCCAATTTGCAATACTTGCCGAGTCACAGTGATCCTTGGCTCTCAGCCCAGCTGCAAAGAGTAAGTTGAGAATGCTCTCTGGAACCCATCATGAACTTTGTGGAGGAAGATAGAAAAATACACGTTTGCATAATCGGCTATAGATAGGCCTACCTCAAGTTGCTTCCTTGGCTCTTATGCATTCTCTAAACTCAGGGTGGCTTATCATATGCAAAGCCAGATAGCTTATAATAGGTGAATCCAACCCACATAAGGCAAAATAGATGTTAGGAGAAGTGGCTTAGTGGATAAGACACTGAGCTTGTCGATCAGAAAGGTTGGCGGTTCGAATCCCTAGTACAGATCTCCTGTGTGAGTTGGACCCTTCCAACTCTCTTACTGTTTACTTAACTCTTCTTCCCAGTAAGGCCGGAGGTACCTCCCGAGCTCTGTTTTTTGCTGGCAGAGGAGGCTATCACAGCTGGAAATGGAGCTTGGGAGCCCATTTTCACTGGCAGAGACACTGCGGGCTGGTCCTCACTGTTTCCGAGGTGGCCCCACAGGCTAGATCTAAGCATCCAGTAGGCTGAATCTGGCCCGCGGGCCTTGAATTTGACACCCTGTGTTAGAATATAATAAAAGAGTTGGGAGGGACCTCCGAGGTCTTCTAGTCCAAGCCCCTGCGTAGGTAGGAAACCCTACACCACTTCAGACAAATGGTTATCCAATCTCTTCTTAAAAACTTTCAGTGTTGGAGCATTTACAACTTCTGGAGGCAAGTTGTTCCACTGATTAATTGTTCTAACTGCTGGGAAATTTCTCCTTAGTTCTAAGTTACTTCTCTCCTTGATTCCACCATTGCTTCTTGTCCTGCCCTCAGGTGCTTTGGAGAATAGCTTGACTCCCTCTTCTTTGTGGCAGCCCCTGAGATATTGGAACACTGCTCTCATGTCTCCCCTCGTCCTTCTTTTCATTAAACTAGACATACCCAGTTCCTGCAACCGTTCTTCATATGTTTTAGCCTCCAGTCCCCTAATCATCTTTGTTGCTCTTCTCTGCACTCTTTCTAGAGTCTCCACCTCTTTTTTTACATCCTGGCGACCAAAACTGAATACAGTATTCCAAGTGTGGCCTTACCAAGGCATTATAAAGTGGTATTAACACTTCATCTCTGTTTCTATCCCTCTGTTTATGCAGCCTAGAACTGTGTTGCCTTTTTTGGCAGCTGCTGCACAGTATTGTTATGGGAACGTCTGGGAACGTCCTGGTAAACACCTGCTGAAGTGTCCTTGGTTCTCACAGCTGGCATCTTGATGTCTAGAACTTGTTTACTTTCTATCTACCCTTTCCTTCTCCCCATAGTTTCGTTGGCAATCTGAGAAGTGATCATAGTTGCAATAGCAAAAACGTCTTTTGAAGCTTGAGACGAGAATTACCTGTATTCAACTAATCTAGCTTTCATCTCCTTTACTTTCTTCTTTAAGAATAATAATACCTACTATAAAAAGCACATCATCGAGATGCATCGTGGGAAACGTCGGGATTGTTAACAAGTTCTAACTGTTCCTAATATGGGAGAACTTTTTGTCTCCAAATATGATCTCAGTTCATATTTTGGCAGTCTAGGTAGGTCCAGGAAGTCTTTTCATGGCACAGTAGTCAGCAGCTGCTATGCATCAACTGGTTAATTAATGTATTCCAATGCCAAGCTAATTTACATGGACAATTTATTATAATACATGGCAATTTACAATATTGATTTACACTGAAACCTCTACAGGGAAGGAGAGCAAAAGTATGGATGTCACAGACCATTCCCTTAAGGGACCCCTACTTCTTCAAGGAAACCAATTTTTTTTTTTTTTAATTTGATTTATATGCCGCCCTTCTCCGGAGACTCAGGGTGGCTTACAGTGCGTTAAGCAATAGCCTTCATACTTTTGTATATTTATACAAAGTCAGCTTATTGCCCCCACAAACTGGGTCCTCATTTCACCTACCTTAGAAAGGATGGAAGGCTGAGTCAACCTTGAGCCTTGGAGAGATTCGAACCAGCAGTAAATTGCAGGCAGCTGTGTTAATAACAGGGTGCTTTAAACCACTGTAGTACCAAGGCTCTTAGTACCAATATTGAACTGGAAACCGTATTGGGTGAGGTCCAAGCTATATGGTTTTTCAGAAGTAGCCATCTTTCTATGACCAGGTCTGCATAGTATATATCCCTATAGCTAGCCAAAGTATTTCAGGGAAATGGTGGCTCAGTGGCTAAGATGCTGAGCTTGACGATCAAAAGGTTGGCAGTTCAGTGGTTTGAATCCCTAGTGTTCCATAACGGGTTGAGCTCATTACTTGTCCCAGCTTCTGCCAACCTAGCAGTTCAAAAGCACGTTAAAAAATGCAAGTAGAAAAATAGGGACCACCTTTGGTGGGAAGGTAACAGCGTTCTGTGCACCTTTGGCGTTGAGTCATGCCAGCCACATGACCACGGAGACGTCTTTAGACAGCACTGGCTCTTTGGCTTTGAAACGGAGATGAGCACCACCTCCTAGAGTGGAACCTTTACCTTTTCTTTACCCCAAATAACTACATTTTCTAGGACCGGACAACACACTGAATCATTAACTAACCATATGATTTGTATATGGAGATTCTAAGTCATCCAGGTCATGGCTGTGCTAAGGCACTTTGTTCCCCCCCCCCCCAGGGGAAACTGGACTTTCTGGGTTTTCTGATTGGATGATGGGGAATTGAAGGATTTATACTCCTTGCAGACAGCTGGACATTTGAATTCTTTTAGCGGGGTCATTAAATTCACCTGGAGGCTTATCTGTGTCATCAGGGTCAAAACTGAGGGGTGCAAATGAGTGTGGAGCCTTCTTGGAACTGTTGAAAGGACTGTGTTGTAGACTGGAGATCGATGATGTTGTATCCCTCCCCCTCTGTTGAGAGAGGGCTGTTCGATTTTGACATAGATGGCCTCTTTAAACATATGAAGCGTATTTGCACAATATACCGGTTGAAGTCTGGTGGGCCAATGTGGCAGGAACCTAGCCAGTGTCATTAACTTATGGTTGAGTGTGTTGTGTGAACCAAGGCCACAGCTCAGCTAATCATGGATAACTAGGTTGGGAAAGGCATGCATCGTAGCATGCACGATGCATACATTTATAGGGCTCCTGGTATGTCTTCTTGTGAAGTCAAGCTTCACAAAATCTACAAGTGTTGTGGCCTGCCAGCGGCCTGTGCGGATTGTGGCTGATCCCAACAACGAGGAGGCTGATGTGGTGTCACGCCAGCAGCCTGTGCAGCTGGCGCTCGAGTCAGACAGCGAGGAGGCTGAAGAGGATGTGGTGCCAGAGGCAGAGACTCAGCCAGGGCCTTCAGAATCTCCAGAGGCTCCTTCAAGTGAAGAGAGTGAAGTGGAGGAGCCTCTTCTCAATGCTCGAGCACGCAGGGCTGTCAAAAGGCAGGAGTGGCTACTCAGGAGGAGGTCTCCTCGAGAGTAAGGCTTGGGGCTAATTAGCCACTCCCTTAGCCTATTTAAGTTTGCACACAGCTGGCAAATGTTGCTGGAAACAACGTTTGGTCCTACGCAGAGCATTTGAGAGTGAGTTTTTTGTTACAACTTGGTTTCTGGGCTGATTGCCAACCCTTGTCGGACTTTGTTTAATCTCTGTAATTCACAGCAGGCTGATAAGGACATTTGTGGTTAAAGCCTGCATTTTGAAAGGGGTCTGTTTGTATTAAACGGAGTTTTTGGAGCTGTGTGCGTGCTACAGTTCTTGGGACCCGTAGCTGGGGCAGAACAACAAAGTCACAAAATCTGCAAAACAAAAGCTGCATTTATTGATCGACAAACTCAGAAGCAGTCACTTCTGTATTCCAGAAGATGAGGGATTCCAAGAAGACACGAGCCCCTCACTCTTCATTGCCGTTCATACATCTCTTTAAGGATCTTCATGCTCTCAGCATAGCGCAACTGGTTCTTCTGCGAAGCTTCTTTCCACCTGGAAACAGGCCACAAGTCAACCACGGCACATGGATTTTTTGCATTATCCTTTCCACAAATTGTTTCCCGCTACACAGTGAATTCTCGCATGGGACCAATAACTGGATCTCTTGCAGGGGTGAAATCCAAATTTTTTTTACTACCGGTTCTGTGGGCGTGGCTTGGTAGGCGTGGTATGGCTTGGCGGGCATGGCAGGGGAAGGATACTGCAAAATCTCCATTCCCACCTCACTCCAGGAGAAGGATACTGCAAAATCCCCATTCCCTCCCCACTCCAGGGGACGGATACTACAAAATCCCCATTCTTTCCCCACTCTGGGGCCAGCCAGAGGTGGTATTTGCTGGTTCTCTGAACTACTCAAACTTTCTGCTGCCAGTGCTTCGAACTGCTCAAAATTTCCACTACTGGTTCTCCAGAACCTGTCAGAACCTGCTGGATTTCACCCTTGAGCTCTTGCCTCTGGGCCACAGTTTGGCTTTCTGTTACACAAGCCTTACCTTTGTCTGATCTTCTTCCATCTCTCCATGTTCTTGTAGATGAGGGTAGACATTGAAGGGACCACTTCAGAAGTCTGGGAGGGTTTATAGGAGAGAGGAAACATATGCAAGATCACTTAATTTGCTATGAATCTAAGGGCACTGTATGAATGTCCTAACAAGCATCTTCAATCTAACAAGAGCATCCGATACAGTAGCGAAATTAATTGGAGACTTATCGGTCTGTGAAACTTGCAGTCCTAAATTCCTTTTCAGTTTTGTAGGACGTCAGCACCCACCCCCCTCCTAGAAGAATGAAATATTCTAGGAAATATTAAAGAGGCAGAATATTATATTTCCCCCGATGAGAAAAGGAGAAAGATGTTTTTAAAGACAAAGCAGCTTCCCGCAGCTCTCTGCCCTCCTCCCTTCAGCTCCAGGGTGATGGGATTTAGACATGGCCCTCAGGACATGATAGGATTAGCCCTCTACCCATCTCACCACATGGCACCTGGGAAGATTACATCACCCAGCAAGGCTCAACCAAGCCTGGGACACAGACAGCCTACAAAGTTAGCTAAGACCCCGGCCCCCTGGGAATCTGACAGCCAATGGGATACATTTCTTGTACAGGAACAGGAAACTCTAAGGCAGGGCCCAAGAGAGTGTATAAATTTATCCCTCTCTCCACTCCATGTGCCTTTTTGTTGAGGACCTCAAAACATGTGGTCTTGTCCACCATTAAAAACCATCTTTCCAAACAGCCACCATGTTTCCAGTGTCTTTCTCCCCACTTGGAACTGAACCCGGATGGACATTTCTTCCAACAGTTTATTTTACTTATGTCGATTTAGTTGGTGGCACATCTTAAGTTTTTAGCTGCATTTTTAAGTTTGCACTTTTACGGTACATTATTCTGACTCATTCATATTCCTGTTTTCTGTTCCTCCGGTTCTTTTAAATTAAAATGTCTCGTAAGTACCCTTTCCTCACTTGAATTGAGAAAAGTATTCTAACATAATCCTCTCCTTTGACAACTTGGCACCAAAGCCTACTCTTATCCACAACACAATCAAATCAGTTGAAAATATAGTGGCTTGATTCATACAACAAACCAGGCTTGGTTGGTGGGATTGTTATTATGTGTGGGGGTGTGTATCCGTGCATAATTTATTGCATTGTGTGAATCCAGAATGTTTTAGTTTATGACTCAATGCCCTGTGGAAACCCAGAAAAAGGGAGATAATTTAGCAAACCAGTTAAATGCAAATAGTATGTGATATAGCGGGTATGGTTGTTTTTTTTTTTTTTAGCTTCGATTTAGGTTTTGGCATGTTGTGTAAATCCGGGAGTGGTGCGGTGGCTTAGAAGTGGAGTTCTCGCCTCACAATCAGGAGGCTGTGAGTTCGATCCTAGGTAGAGGCAGATATTTCTCTCTCTGGGCACACCGAGAACAAAACTCCGCACTGGCGACAGGAAGGGCATCCGACCATTTAAACGCTCTGCTAACTCCATTCAGTTGCCCCGACTCCACCTCGCAAGGGATTATGGGGTCGTTAAAAGAAGATGATGTTGTGTGAATCGGGCCAGACAATTAAAAATACATTTCAAATTGAAAATGCTAGGTGTCCTCTTAAGAGTAATATGTCAGTTTTGGAAGACAGTTTTCCTTTCTGCTTCCTAACTGCCACATATTTTAGCCTGGGAAATTGGGAGAGGGGTTTTTGTTGGAGCGGTAGAAAGTTAGTCATAACAACATTCTGTATTCAAGGACACTTTTGCCTACATCTGCTGGAAACTGCCTGGAGATTGTATCCAGTTGAATGTGAAGAATTGATTGGACTATATGTGATGAGCTTGTGGGTGTAGGGCAGGGCTGCGAACTGTTAGCTGGGTGGGGGAAACCTGGAAGCTTTCAGATTCGGGTTTTCCCAGATGTGCCAACATGACATTCAGTGGTGGGTTTCAGCCAGTTCGCACCTAATCGGGAGAACCGGTTGTTAACTTTCTAAGCAGTTTGGAGAACCGGTTGTTGAAAGAAAACTTATTTTGTTTTTTTCCCACTTTACAGGGCTAATCCTGTAAGGAAGGCAGGAAGGAAACATTCTGGTGGTGTTTCTAGCCTAATCTTTATTGCCCTGCTTATAGAAACTGCCTCTCTGCTTAACCCTTATTACATTGTAACAGATAAGTCGAAGTGCCCATCAATGTGAGTGAAGTTGAGTTGGCCACACCCACAGTCACATGACCACCAAGTCATGCCTACCCAGCTGGTCATTAGGGCAGAGAACCGGTTGTTAAATTATTTGAATCCCACCACTGATGACATCTCTAATAAATTGGGACTTTGAGGAACCTCAGGCCTCGGAGTTTTATTTCGTTAGGGGTGTTCCTTGGAACCCTGACATAATATCCTGATGCACACTGCCCCATGTCTTGCTGATAGTAAGAGGGGATTCAGATGAGAAAAGGTGGTTAAAATCCCTACCATTTACTATTTTACCATCCAACCTGTTTATTCTCATCCCCATCACCCCACCCCACTCCTTAATTTGCAGGATGGTCTGACCGTTTCAGCAGCCACTTTTGTTTCCTCTTCAGATGCTGGTGGGAATGGGATACGCAGGTTAATGGGTTCCCCTGCAGGATTTGTCTGGCAAGGGATAGGCGATGGTAGCTTGTAGACATCCTGGATTTTCCCATTTAAGACTTCGACGCCCTGGGATCCCAGAGTTTAAGAGAGAGGAGAGAAAGAGGACAAAAAAATAATGGGTCCAACTTTTGCAGCCTTAATCAGGAGACTTATTCTTGAAATACAGTATATAACGTACTGTATATTTATGTTACAGTATATACAGCAGGGGTGTTAAACTCAAGGTCTGGGGGCCAGATCCGGCCCGCGGGGTGCTGCGATCTGGCTGGAACCATCTGTCCTGGAAACAATGAAGGACCAGCGGTACCTCTGCCAGTGAAAACAGGCTGGTGAGTTTTGTTTTAGCTGACAGAGGGTTGCAGGAAGCCACCGCAGCTAAAAACGGAGCTCGTTAGCCCGTTTTTGGCTGTGACATTTTTGGCTGTTACTAGAGGACTGCTGGTAGGTCCGTTTTTTGCCCTTCCCAGGCTCCGGAGACTTTCCTGGAGCCTCCAGGAGGGCAAAAACAGCCTCCCCCAGACACTGGAGGCCCTCCAGAGGCCGGAAACAGCCCCGTTTCCGGACTTACAGTAGGCCTATTTTTTGCCCTCCCAGAGCTTCCGTGCGCACCCTACACTTACCTGGCATCCAAAACGGGCCGTGTGGAGACTCCTGGGAGGGGCGAGGTGGGCGGGGTCAGCCAGTCCTTGGAACAACCAGTTCAGCAAACCAGATTAAAATTAACATCTGGTTCACCCGAACCGGTCTGAACCAGCTGAATCCCACCCCTGCCTTTGAGATTTGCATTTGGAAATTTGCTTAAATTCTGAAGACTGAAGATCCAGTCTTCAGAATCTAGGACAGGCCTGTCGATTTGGAAAAGAATCTAGGACAGACCTGCCCATTTTTTCCATTTTAGACAAAGGAGAATGTAGGCTAGATCTGGATCTGAGCCTTGTTTCGCTGGTGGAATCCAAAGTTTTGCTCAATCCACACTGGCCCAGTTTCCCTCAGGCTGGGACTTCTGGAAGCTATAAGCTTAATGAACGTAAAGGTAGTCCTCATTTAGCAACATCGGTTGGGACCAGCAACTCGGTCATTAAGCCAGTGCTAAGTGAAACCACAACTGTGCTTATGATCTTGTTTCAGCTTTCCTTTGCTTTACAAGCAAACCTAAGAAGGTCGTAAATGCAAGGGTTGGTCATAAAATTTCTTTTTTCATCACATAACTGCAAATGGTCACTAAACAAGGACTACCTACACAGGATGCCACGTGGGTAAAGAAGGATGTAACCTCTGTGCATAAAAAGTTCCAGATCAGATCCAGACTTCATTTGGATTACATATTTACCAGTCTGACCGCCTCAATTGTATGAGTTATGGAGAGAAAGTGCGCAATAGATTTTAAGGCCCGCCAGAGAAAACTTTGTGGAAAGCAGTATACTCAGCTATTGTTTGACTGGTGAGAAAAGACTTTTCCCACTTAGAAGCCGGATTAGGGAATCCTGTTCTGTACCTCTTCATCTTCAAGCAGGGTGGGTAGATTTGGGCTGGGAGATCGTTCCTGTTCCCGCACCATGGGACTATTCCGCATCCAAGCTCGGCAGATGGGGTATAGTGGGGTGCTCTCAGAGAACTGGGCCAGGTCTACACTTCGATCAAACAGCTTGATGATGTAGGTGTCTGCAAAGATAAAGATGTCAGGGTTCCTACGGATGCCCTAATTAAATCATAAGTCTTGAGCCAAGCTTCAAAAGAAATCCAGGTATTTATTAGGAGCTTCATGTCGGCACATTCCCAAGTGAAGCCAGCTCTGACCCTACGTAATTTACGCTCCAATTATGACCCTGTTTCCCCCCTCCCCCCAGGGTGTGTCATCAATCACATTCGTCAAGGGAGCAATTTCGTGGGTGGCAGAGGTCACTCCCCTTCGACTGCTGTAGGTATCCCTGGGATACAGCCTTGAGGGAGATGAGCATGGAATGTGCATCTGTTTTTTGCTGCTGGGCAGTTTCGCCAGTTTCCCATTCCCCCTGGCCTATGGTAACTCGAAAGCAGGCCAGGGATGCTTTGCGAGTTGACAAAAAGATACATTAAAAAATTAAGAGACAGATCTTAAATCAGAGCTGGGTGATGCCTTCAGAAATCGAAGGTGGCTTGAGTCATAATTCAGCAGCAAAACCTAAGCTTTGCATCTCTAAAGTCAGCAGTTTAACTCTTCCCCAAGAATCAATGACTTGGCTCAAGAGCCACCACAGTAGCTCTGATGTTTCCACTCACTCTGCTTTTGTGGTCCCCCTTCAGTGAGTCCGTCGTCCATCTCTTTCCTCTTCTTGCGACGGTGATGGGAGAATCGAGTAGAAGGCCTGAGAACACAAAAGCATTAGAAGGTGATGCAAGCAACCGGAAGGTTTTGCACTGAGCAGATGGAGACGGTGAGACTTCTGAGAATGTCTTCCAACTCTGTTAGGACTCATTCCATGGGCTCTGAAGAACCTGATCTCATAAGTGTCTCTGGGACAAGACACCTGGAACACCCAGAATGAATGGAGTAGACATTCAAGTTTTTGTTTAAGGAGGCTAGGTCGCCTTTTGTGAAGGAGGCTTAATTGGGATTCTTGCACTGGGCAGGAAGTTGGACTGAACTCTCCCTTCCGGCACTAGGATTCCATGACCCTGAACGCTGGCAGATGTAACAAGCTATCATACAGTAGTGGCCAAAATTGTGGAAACCTTTTGGGAAAAGTGTATTTTTGAGGTTTGATGGCTAATAACACCACTTTTTTGGGGGGGCATTTCAAGATAATCCTATTCCACTGCTGGAATGGCCTGGGAATAGCCCAGACCTTCACCCAATTGAAAATCTATGGAGCAGCTGACTAAAGAAACTTGTTAAGTCAGAAGCGACTCAGCAATAAAACCCAGTGAATAGAAGCCATCCTTCAATCTTGGTTTCACATGATAACAGCTGCAGAACTCAAAGACTTTGTTCACTCCATGGGAAGACGCTGTAAGGCCGTGATTCATGCTAAAGGTTACCCAACTAAGGATTAACTGACATGGTGATAATTTTTGTATATTTTGTTTTTTCTATGGTGATAATGTTTGTATATCTCGTTTTTTTCTACGGGTTTCACTTTTCTTCTTTATACTGTAACTGCTATTCTAATAGCAAATCCTTCATAAAAGTTATTGCATTACATTCCTGATTAAATTATCTTTCCATTGATATATAATTTTATGGTACTACTTGAAAAAAAAAAGTGTTGTTATTAGCTCGTTTCAGAAAATACACTTTCCCCAAAAGGTTTCCACAATTTTGGCCACTACTGTATACGACGATTAGAAACCAAGTGATAGTGTCTCCACCAAGTGTACGGATCTGCAACTTCCCAGTTCTTTGGCGTGCTGCTTTTTCTTGATTGAGACAAGTCAGCTTGGCTCTGAAGAAAAATTAGGTACCCCTGGTTTCCTTTAGACCAGCCATGCCCAACCTTTTGGCTTACCTGGGCCTTATATATAAAATATATCAATTTAGTTAATGAATATCAAGACATATAATAATGATAAAAAGTTTACAATCTACGTTACTAAGCTGTCCAGGGCTGTGTGTGGCCTGTGCGCCATGGGTTAGAAACACCTGTTTTAGACAGGTGATGGAATTTGCATCCCACTGGCAATAGCAAACATGCTAGAGCAGTGATGGCTAAACTTTTTCGGACCAAGTGCCCAAATGCAATGCATGTGCGGACTCCCCGCACGCCCCCCACGCATGCGTGGCAGAGACCAAAGACCAGCCAGCCAGTGGGAGGCACGCACACATGCGCGGCAGAGCTGAACTGGGGCAACGGCTCGCGTGCCCACAGAGAGGGCATTGCGTGCCTCCTCTGGCACGCGTGCAATAGGTTCGCCATCACGGTGCTAGAGTAATGGGAACTGTGGATCTAGCTCAGATCATAGCAGTGGCGAAAGTTTAAAGCTAGTTTCTGTCCTGCCATCATTCTGAGCTGGCTTGATGTCCGTTTACCGATATGTCTTAATCGTGCAACGGCAATTATACAATAGGCCTTGGGCCTAATTTGCTCCAGCCTATTTATTACTTCATATAGTATAAAACAAGGGTCTCCAACCTTGGCAACTTTTAACACTTGTGGACTTTAAGACTTGTGGACTTCAACTCCCAGGATTCTGGGAGTTGAAGTCCACAAGTCTTACTCTGGGAGTTGAAGTCCACAAGTCTTAAAGTTGCCAAGGTTGGAGACCCCTGGTATTAAACATCTACATTTTGAATAAATAACACAATCAACCCAAGGGGCACCGGAAATGGGTCACTGAGCATCCAAATTACTCTCCTGCCTGTCGAGAAGATCCCCTTTGCGATCAGCTTTTTAAAAATCCAACCGCAGCAAGAGCTACAAGTCATTTGCCTGGTTTGCATATTAATTAAACAGTATTTCTAGGCCACGCCCATTCCAAAGTATTCTGGGCTGCAAAGAGCGAAACTGAAAATCCAGGAAACAGATAGTAAGAAACGGTAAACTTTTTTTTTTTTTTTTTTTTGGGATAGTGTCTCCGGTCACAGTTGCAACTGGAGGCACCTTGAAACTGGTACTGCTTTTGAGAAGGCGGTTCTTAAGAAAGCACTGAATTCCGAATGCTGTTGGCAAGGAAGAGAACCAAGTGCATTGGCTGCACTCATTCCCACAACTGAAGAAACAAGGCGCTCCTTTGGTTGTCTTTCTGGCTGCTGGAACCGCCAGGGAGGAAATCCCAAAACAAAACCTGCAAGCCAAGTTCACACACAGCATTGAAATCGACGTGCGAACCAGACCCCTGATGGCATTCAACACAGTGACGTGTGAACCAGGCTGCAGAATTCTGTGCCACACGCTTGCGTGATTTTGTTTCTTGAGATCTTCAGTTGAACTCAGTAAGAAAACTTTCTATTCTCCCACTCTGTGGTCATCAGTAGGCAAGGAAGGAAGGACAGGGCTAAGAACCATACCTCTTTCCTGTAGCAATAGGAGAAGGGTCCCTGCAACCGCAAAGCAAGAGAGGTTAGGAAATACCTAGCAGGCAACAGCCCCACCAGAAAGAAAATGGCTTTTCTAGGAAGTCGGTTCTCAGCAGAGTTAGCAAGTCTATAGACTGGAGCAGGGATGGGAAGCTGCAGCCTCCAGATACGGCTGGACTATGATTCCCAGAAGTCATAGCCAGCATCGCCAACAGTGAATGCTGGGATTCGTAGTCCAGGTACACCCGGAAGGATATAAATTCCTCAGCTCTTTGGGGCCTGCTGTCCCAGACCACTAGTAATACCTCCTTTTTGAAAGTTTGGTATTATATAAATATCTGTAAAAATATTGTAAATACTTTTTTAAGGCGTCATTTTGAAAAAGCTTCAAAAGCAAGCAAGCAGAAAGAGGGATAATTAGGTAGATGTACTGCTAGTTTTTTTTTACGCGATAGTCTAAAAGTTGCTTGGGGAAGACAAAAAAAGATATTTGGACCCACTTCTCAAATTCCTCTCGAGTACTTCTGAAAGAAGAGCAGAGCGAAGGATTTCAAAGACGCTGCAGGAGACATAAGCCAAATCATCTCAATGCCTGACTGTCAACTGAACATGGGTGAACCTCTCTTAAAAAAAAATCCCTTTCTCTGCCTGAATTCGGCTAATGGCTTGAGGCAGGTCAAAGTGCAAAGAGAAAGGAGAAGGCTGAACATGATGGCTGCTCCTTACTTGCTGAGCGCATCTGATGATGTCTTTCCAGGGTCCTCTTCCATTTGATCCCTGAGATGAATCAGAAAAAAAGAAAAAGAAAAAGGGGAAATGTAATTGGCTTTGTCCAAAACATGAATGCACCCTTTGAGGGTTCTTCCTGACAACTACTTTGGCCTCGTGAGAAATGAGAGATTGACAGGCTGGTAGAATAGGAAGAGATTCCTATCAGAATCTGAAACCAGAAGGGCAGCTCCCCGGCGCGCATGAGCGCCCCAACCAGCTGGTCTTTGCTGAAACCAGAAGACCAGGTGACTGGCACGCCTGCACACACCGGAAATCGGAAGGTCAACTTCCCGGCGCGTGCATGCTGCTCATGTGTGAACTGCTCTTCAGGTTTCCAGTGCTTCCCCCCCCCCCCACGTGGTGCATTCGCTCCCGTTTCGGCTGGTTCGCCAACACTGATTTAGGAAATGTTCAGCCATAAAAAGCAAAAATGGCCCACTCAACAGTTTTAACCCCTTTCCAATATCAACGGTTTCAGATTTCTTTTCGGTGCTCAGAACTGACTTGCTGATTCTTACCTGTCAACATCGGTTTTCTCCAGCAGACACTGTAGGACGGCATCAAGACGGTTTCGCGCATTGGCCGTCTCAAGATCTGAGGATGACGAGAGATTGTTACTCCGGCATAAAACAATGAGAGGAATCCATGGTGTATCTTTTTCTTTTTTTAAGTTAACAATGAAGTCGCCTGTTTGTTTTTTTTTCAGGTCTAGGAAACTCCCAAAGGCCTGTAGATTACTCTCTTTAAAAAGCTAAATAACGTTTACTTCTAATGCAATCCAAGCTGAAGAATGGGAATGGGAGAGAAGAGGTTGGATAAAATTCAAATCCTTGGGTTTTTATAGCAGAATATTTCCCGAGGCATTTTACCTGGTTTTTCTGTTTTGACTTTGGTATGTAACATGTTTGTCGAGAAGCAATTTCCTGCAGGAGTAAGAAAGCAGGGGGGAAAAAAAATATCTCAAATTCATATTTTGACTTTGGGGAAGGCATCACACAACCACAAAAGATGATACAGCCCAAAAATAAAGGGAAGAAAGACAAAGAAACTCAATCCCACCTTGATTTTGCTTAATATAAGAAGGAAATAAACTTGGACCAGTTTTCCAGATGCTGTTATTACAGGTAGTCTTCCACTTACGACCACAATCCAGACCAAAGATTGTAGTTATTAAATGAGTTTTGCCCAATTTTCCAATCTTTTTGCCACCGTTGTTAAGCAAATAACACTGCAGTTGTTAAGTGAATCATATGGTCATTAAGCGAAACTGGCTTCCCCATTGACTTTGCTTGTGAGAAGCCAGCTGAGAAGGTTACAACATGGGGACCACAGGGCCCCTGGACAATGCAACCGTCTTATATACATGCCCAGTTGCTAAGCAACCAAATTTTGATCGCGTGACCATGGGGGATGCTGCGATGGTCGTAAGTGTGAAAAATGGTCATAAGTCACTTTTTCCAGTGCTGTTCTAACTTCCCATGGTCTCTAAATGAATGGTTGTAAGTTGCGGACTACCTGTATATCTTATAAACAGTGTATCTCAGGGGCCTGCAACCTTAAACACTCAAAGAGTCATTTGGACCCCTTTCCCACAGAAAAGAAAACACCGGGAGCCACAAAACCTGGGTGGGCGTGGCCAACTCGATGTCACTCACTTCCACCAGTCACATGACCTCTCCCCCCAGCCATGCCTACCCAGTCGGTCATTAGGGCAGAGAACCAGTTGTTAAAAAACACCGGGATCCACAAAATCCTTTTGACATATCTCTCTCTTCCCTCCCTCCCTCCCTGTATCTATGTGTCTCTTTCTCCCACTCTCTCTGCCCTGGCCGCTTCTCCATCCCAGCCATCGCCCTTACCTTCTCTGGTCAGGCGAGGAGTGACTGGGAGGGGGGGGGCAAGGGGCAGAGCCAGCCAGTGGTGGGCTCACCTGACAGGGAGCCACAGCTGAGGGCGCAAAGAGCCACATGCGGCTCCAGAGCCACAGGTTACTGACCCCTGGTGTATCTCAACTTTAGCAATTGTCAGATGCATGGACTTCACTTCCCAGAATTCCCCAGCCAGCGTGGAAAGGCTGGCTGAGATATTCTGGGAGTTGAAGTCCACACATCTGAAAAAGTGGTCAAGATTGAAAAACATTATCATATAAGAGGAAGGGAAGGAAAAACATAATCAGACTCGCAAGGTCTCAATGAAATACTATATATAGAGATACTTCTAGTCTTCCTATAGAATTAGTTTGCTGGTCTGATTTACCTTAAAAGGGCTGATACACGTGAGAAAAATAGTACAGGAAGTTCAACCTAATGGATTCAAGTAATGACAAAAGCTACCCCCAAAAGCCTTGGTGGCGCAGTGGACTAAGTGCTGTTAAAGTAGCACTTAGTTGCCAGCTGCCTGCAATTACTGCAAGTTCGAATCTCACCAGGCTCAAGGTTGACTCAGCCTTCCATCCTTTCGAGGTAGGTAAAATGAGGACCCAGATTGTGGGGGCAATAAACTTACTTTGTATATAAAAAAAAGAACACCGCTTGGGGGGGTCGAAAGCCCTACTAAGCAAGTATATACAAAAGTATGAAGGCTATTGCTTAAGACATTGTAAGCCGCCCTGAGTCTCCGGAGAAGGGCGGCATATAAATCGAACTAATAAATAATAATAAATAATAATAAACATGTTGACTACAAGCTCCTCGTTGCAATAATGCTCCAACAAGAATGGAACTTGGGAGCAGTTGGAATTTCTGCTTGGGAGCAGTTTTCTTAAAGTAACAAAAAAACTCAGTAGATCAGGGGTCCTCAAACTTGGCAGCTTTAAGACTGGTGGACTTCAACTCCCAGAATTCTCCAGCCAGCTATGTTATGCTGGCTGGAGAATTCTGGGAGTTGAAGTCCACCAGTCTTAAAGCTGCCAAGTTTGAAGACCTCTGCAATAGATTGAATTCCTTCAATCTATTGCTAAAGCAGAAATGTTAAAGCAGAGAAACTGGGAAAGTTTTTTCTTTTTTGCTTTTCTGAAAGTTAGGATTCTTAAAGGCAGCTCCGCTCTAAAAGTCATGCGAGTCAGGTTTGCAGGGCACGTGAGAAAAGGTTCAAATCGGGTGGTTTGCGCTTCGGGTCGATCCAGGAAATCCAGGGCTCCCTGCCTTTTAAGTCTGAATCATCAAGCCAATCCTATCCCATCACTTTTAGGGACTCTTTGCAAATCCGCGATCTCAAAGCCACGGCGATCTCTTGATGGGGGTTTAGCGTGTTGTGTGAATCCAGCCAGCGAGGACTTTTTAAGAACTCTGGGCATAGACAGGACTGAGCACGTATAACCCTCCGTGCAATTGATTGCATCCCGATCAATTCTCCCTTCTCCTCCTCCTCCAACATTTTTTCCACCCCCCGTTTTAGGGGGAAAATCAAGGTTGACTCAGCCTTCCATCCTTTCTAAGGTAGGTAAATTGAGGACCCAGTTGTGGGGGCAATAAGCTGACTTTGTATAAATATACAAAAGGATGAAGGCTATTGCTGAGCACATTGTAAGCCGCCCTGAGTCTCCGGAGAAGGGCGGCATATAAATCAAATTTAAAAAAAAAGTCGCTTCTTGGCTGCTCGGATGAAGAAGGGGAGAAAGCGAATTCCCGCCGGATCGGGCTGCACCTCTAAGAGCAGATCCCGACCTCCCTTCTGCCCGATCCCGCAGCAGCCACAGCCCAAGAGCGGGCATCCCACCCACCCCTTGCAACCTCTTACTTTGGGTGGAAAAGGAGCGATTCCAGCTCTTCCAATGGAGCAGATCGAAGCCAAATCCTTCGGGAGGGATCGCTGTCGGGCTCTCTGCTTGGGCTGGCTCGCTTCCTTTCCTAGCTTTGCACGCAACCCCCCCCGCCCCCCCCCCCTCCCTCCCCCCCCCCCTCCGTCCGCGCGCAAACCCCCCCAGCCCCCCCCCCCCGTCCAACGAAAAGCTGCCTCTTCTGGATCGCTTTGCCCGTCCGTACGAATGCAGAAAAACCGCCTCTGGTGCGTTGCATGCTGGGAATTGTAGGCCGGGCGATTCCACCCAGTGACTGAGACTGGTTTTTTTTTTTCCCCCCTCCCCTCCTTTGCGAGTAGAGACAGCGCCTCTTGTGCAAGGATGGGGCTCCTGTGAGCCAGACACAACTACTATTTTTTTTCCCTCCCTGTGTTTCAAGAAGTTGTCATCTTAACAGAATAGTACAGTGGTTCTCAACCTGTGGGTCGGGACCCCTTTGGGGGTCGAATGACCCTTTCACAGGAGTCGCCTAAGACCATCGGAAGACACATATTTTCGATGGTCTTAAGAATAATTTTATGGTTGGGGGTCACCACAATATGAGGAACTGTATTAAAGGGTCGCGGCATTAGGAAGGTTGAGAACCACTGGAATAGTAGAATAACAAGAGTTGGAAGCAGTGGTGGGCTTCAAAATGTTGTACTACCTGTTCTGTGGGTGTGGCTTGGTGGGCGTGGCATGGCAGGGGAAGGATTTATTTTCTTTTTTTTTTTCTATTTTATTTGATTTATATGCCGCCCTTCTCCGGAGACTCAGGGCGGCTTACAATGCGCCAAGCAATAGCCTTCATCCTTTTGTATATTTATACAAAGTCAACTTATTGCCCCCACAATCTGGGTCCTCATTTCAACTACCTTTGAAAGGATGGAAGGCTGAGTCAACCTTGAGCCTGGTGAGATTTGAACTTGCAGTAATTGCAAGCAGCAGATGTTAATAACAGTGCTTTAGTCCGCTGTACTATCAGGCTCTTTTGTCTTTCTGGGGCTATTAACAAAGTTGGGGTCTGCTTTCCAAGAGCATATTTCTCCTCTTCTCATCCAGGAAGGTATAATATTCTGCCTTTTTAATATTTCCAAGAATATTTCATTTTTCTAGGAGAGGGGTGGGTGGTAACTTCCTACACTTTGAAGATCTTTTGCTTCTCATCCAAAAAGCTTTTTCGGCCTTAACTGAGGTCCTTCCATTCCTCTCCATCCAGTCAGAGCTGAAGAAGCTTCTTGGATGAGAAGCAAAACGTCTTCAAAGAAAAACCAGAAAGTCCAGTTGCCTCTTGAAAAAAAGCACCTTTGGGACAACCATGCCCTGGATGACTGAGAATCTCCATAGACAGGCAGCCCCTTAGATTCCCCCACCCCACCCCCCCACCTTCCCTGATGGTGTTAATCGTGGTGCTGAATCAAACTCTTGCAGAAGTTGGTCATATATATTCAAGGTTGACTCAGCCTTCCATCCTTCCGAGGTAGGTAAAATGAGGACCCGGTTTGTGGGGGCAATAAGCTGACTTTGTATAAAATAGAACACCGCTTAGGGGGGGCCAAAAAAGCCCTACTAAGCAAGTATATACAAAAGTATGAAGGCTATTGCTTAATGCATTGTAAGCCGCCCTGAGTCTCCGGAGAAGGGCGGCATATAAATCGAACTAATAAATAAATAATATATTGCATTAGGAAATTCTTCAGAGTCCCACTACAGACTGGCCTTTGTGCATTTTTAAGGGTAACCATAACCAACAACTTCTTCAAAACTTGGATTCAGCTTCACGATAACAACATTGAGAGGGGAAGGGACAACTTCCTTAAAAAAACAACAACCTGGGTTTTAGCTCACACGAGCGTCATCCTTGCGCAAGAGGCGCTGTTTCCATTCGCAAAAATTCCCTCTCTTCTCAATCAGTCTCTGTCTTGCAGCCAATTCGAAAAACTTTTCTTTTCTTTTCTACCCAATATCATCCGGAAGACGTCAGGTACAGCTTCTGCACTCAAACCTGAACGGCAGTTTGGATTATTTTCGCTTAGATCTCAATTCGGATCAACTTCAACACAAGATCAGAGATCAACCCAAGATCGGTAACCAACAAGGGCTGTAGTAGGTTTGCAAAAAAAAAAAAAGAAAGAAAAAAGACTAGCGATCACTTGCAATCTCTTAACATTTTGTAGCCTTTGAACTTCACTCCTTGTCACTTTTTTTTTTAAAAAAAAATACCCAATGAGGATGCACAGGTTGGATTTGGAAATAATGCCCGTTTGTAGTTTTGCAGAATTGCTCAGCCCTGGGGAAAACTTGCGGTTTTGTGCATCTATTTTATTCACTTTAATCATTGCTTCGATCTAACTCTTAGTATTTCCTTAGTCAACACCACGCTTTAAAAGGCTGGCCCAGAGCATGGCGGGACGTGTAGTTCGTACGCCAGGAGAAGTCTCCTACCTTTGGAGGCGGCGCGCGGCACGCAATCCTTTCTGGGAATTGTAGTCCTGGAACTTGCTCTGTCATGGCCGGGGAAGGAAAAAGGGAGGCGCTTGTTTACCCTACATCCTTTGCGCGCAGGGACCGCCTTTTCCCCACTGTTGCTAAGCGACCGTAAAGGCGGTAAGTTTATCCTGTGGTGAGCGGGAAATACTTCGGGGGGCCGTCGAGGGTGAAAGTTGTGGGGATTTGAGTCTGGGGCGAGAAAGGCTGGGGAGTCACCCCCGAAGGCGGGGTTACTGCACCGAATCTGGAGTGGCTCGTAAACCCTTTCCTGGGCAGGAAGGACCACACTTCCTATCGTCCCCATCCACCTGGGAATGATGGCTTGGGAAGTCCCAGACTTGAGGAAAGCTGTGGGAATTCGGCCATTGTTGTGGGGAAAAAAATATGAGGCAGAAATATTTATTTTTTATCCTGCCTTTAAACCACTCGAGGCCAAGAGTATGTCTAATACTCCTTCCTCCTCCTATCCCCACCCCCAACAACTTTGTGAGAGGAGTTGGGTTTGAAAGAGTAATTGTCATGCCTTAAGTGGGACTCGAACTCAACACTCTGGATTCCTAGCCTGGTGCCTTAATCACTAGACCACATCATGGTTGTCTAACCTTTTTGCTCGCCTGGGCTGCATTGAGTGAAGAGGAATTGTCTTGGGCTGCATATAACGTATATAATAATGTATATAAATAACCAACTTCCTTTATTTTTTTAATAAGGTTTCCTGCTTGAGCAGGGGTTGGACTAGAAGACCTCCAAGCCCAAGGTCACTTCCAACTGTTATTGTGGAGTTGCATTACTAGCTGTCCAGCGCCACAGGCTGCCTGTGGGCTTGTAGGTTGGACATGACTGCACTAGATCAAAGTGGCTCTTGTTGTTAGTTGTGAAGTCGTGTCTGACCCATTGCGACCCCATCGACAACGTTCGTCCAGGCCTTCCTGTCCTCTACCATCCTCTGGAGTCCATTTAAGCTCATGCCTACTGCTTCAGTGACTCCATCCAGCCACCTCGTTCTCTGCTGTCCTCTTCTTTTGCCCTCAATCTTTCCCAGCATTAGGCTCTTCTCCAGTGAGTCCTTCCTTCTCATTAGGTGGCCAAAGTATTTGAGTTTCATCTTCAGGATCTGGCCTTCTAAAGAGCAGTCAGGGTTGATCTCCTCTAGGACTGACCGGTTTGTTCGCCTTGCAGTCCAAGGGACTTGCAGGAGTCTTCTCCAGCGCCATAGTTCAAAGGCCTCCATTATTTGGCGCTCAGCCTTCCTTATGGTCCAACTTTCACAGCCATACATTGCAATTGGGAAAACCATAGCCTGGACTATACGCACTTTTGTTGGCAGGGTGATGTCTCTGCTTTTTAGTAGTCTAGATTTGCCATAGCTTTCCTGCCCAGGAGCAAGCATCTTTTAATTTCTTGGCTGTAGTCCTCATCTGCGGTGATCTTGGAGCCCAGGAAAATAAACTCTGTCACTACCTCCATTTCTTCCCCATCTATTTGCCAGGAATTGAGAGGGCCAGATGCCATGATCTTAGTTTTCTTAATATTGAGTTTCAAGCGAACTTTTGCACTGTCCTTCACTCGCATCAAGAGGTATCATACTCTTGTTGGTATGTTCACTATTGTGAGCTACACATAAAAAAGTGGGATAAAAGCATCATCATTATAACCCTGCCTCCTTAATCCTGCATTTGGTTAGGTTTAGCCAGAGAATAAACCCCATTAAAGGGAATTGAGCCTTGCTTCAGGACTTGGTTGGACAGGAAATATGCATGAGCCATGATTCATAATCTGTCTCTGATCTGGAGTCTTGCTTCAGAATGGTCAGGCTTGGGATCAGTAAACCAGGATTCAATTGAGGCTGATCAGCCACAAGCATCTCCTATTTAGCTGGAGCAGTCAGAGGAAGGAGGAACAAGTCCCAGGTCTAGATGCCTAGAGAAGTGAGCAGAGTTCTTTCAATAAGACTCCTCATTAGAGAAAGGTGAAATATGAGTCATTGTAGCCAGCTGTCAGCATATAAGTTTAGGTAGTTGCTTTGCTTGCAGTCTTTATTGGAAATAACTGTTAGGCTTTCCAACTGATGATTCTTGTTCCTGCTTTATTCTTCAGCTCTAATATATATATAACTATAATTTAATTATATTTCTATGCCGCCCAACTCCCAAGGGACTCTGGGCGGCTATACCCTTTACTCCAAATGCTATCTACACCTTTTAAGTGTTCACTGGTATGATGCTAGATTGGACCACTTACCTCTTCTTTGCCTCTCTTAATTCATAATTTGAATGATTTATTGGTTTTTGTATCTCAGCCAATGTTTGGAAGCTAAGCAGGGTTGGAGCTGGCTAGTACTTGGATGGGAAACATCCAACAAATACTAGGGCTATAAATGGAGAGGTAGGGAAAACATACTGGAGACAGCAGTTACTTCTATCTTGTTGCCACAAATTCTATATGAATGTGCCAATGAAGTCCAGCTTTCTTGTGCTTCTTGTAAAAGTTTCATCTGTAGACATAAGTATTTTGATTTGTTTTAATATGATGAAAACATTCATCTGTAATCTTTGTACATAAAGTTGCTATAAAAATAAGCCAAGCACTGAGGTTTATGGGGGTTTTGGTCAATCTTGTCTCAAATTGGGACTTGCTAACCCAACTAACACCTGTCTAGGAATATTGCAAAAATCTTGAATAAGCCAGTTGTTGGCCTGAAGAATTTAAAGATTAGAAGAATTTAAAATGATGGCATGTTTAGTGTTCTTTAATTTGATCTGAATTTTGAAACTGGTCAACATTAGACTAATGGTGGTATGTTGAATTTATTGGCCATCCATCTTACCCCAAGGTAACTCTGGACATTACTTTTAACAATGTCCATATAAAGTTTTCTTTGTATTTTAAGTTTTGAATTTCTCACAGCAGGGACTCTGAACTATATAGATTAAATTTGCAACAAGCTAATTTCTTTCATCTTGCTAACTTTTTGGGGAGCATTTGTTTTGGTAGATTTAGATCAGGGCTGTCAAACTCCCAGCGCACAGGCCGGATGTGTCAAATGCTGGCCATGCCCATGCCCAATTTAACGAAGGGGGAAAAATATCCCGATACATCACGTGACACCACCGTGACGACGTGAGTTTGACACCCCTGGTTTAGATCGTGTGCAACTCTGAGCATAATATAATTGAGCAGCTTGTTGTGACTTTCCCAGTTATTCAGAAATCATAAATTAAATAACATAGAGATGCAGTGATTAAAATTTTTGCACTGTATGATTTTTAAAAAAATATAACCCTGATAATAACATCCCAGGTCAAGTGACAAAAGAATCTAGGTCTGTTCCTTTCGCTAATGGTTGCTAGCTTTTCTGTATGTAAGAAGTACAGGTAGTTCTCAACTTACAACCACAATTGAACCCAAAATTTATGTTGTTAAATGAACTTTGTCCCATGTTATGACTTTTTCTTTTTGCCACAGTTGTTAAGTGAATCACTGCAGTTGATACGTTAGTAACCCGGTCGTTAAAGTGAATCTGGCTTCCCCATTGACTTGGTTTGTCGGAAGGTCGCAAAAGTGGATCAATCACGTGACCCCAGGACACAGTAACAGTCATAAATACGAACCAGTTGCCAAGCATCTGAATTTTGATGACATGACTGTGGGGATGCTGCAAAGGTCATAACTGTGAAAAATGATCATATATGTCACATTTTTCAGTGCTGTTGTAAGTCGAGGACTACCTATATTTATACACACAAGCAATGCAGGTTTCAGTTGTTTTGGAATTCAGCTTGGACTAGAGATGATCTCTGAACTGGGCATCCAGTAGAAGATATTCTGATGTTAGACATATAATACAAATTATATAAAGTTTGCATCATTCCCATCGTGGCTCAAATGTCACGCAGTGTGTGCATGTGATGTCTTGCCCTTTGCCTCCCCTTGCAGATGCTCTGAAATCACGTTGTGCTAATTACAATGTTTATATTCCAATGGGCTTGTATAGGACAACTGTCTTCAAGCTTATCTTTTCGCAACAGTAGTTCATTTTTGCGTTCAAAATAGCTGTCACTTGGACAGTTAGCAATAATTCTGAACATTTCTTGACATTTGGCCTTTTAAAAGGTCAGGTAGATGAAGTGGAAACTCAGAGGCGGTATTTCTCTTCTTAGGTACAAATTGCTAATTGAAGCCATCTTGGAAGTACTGTAGTCGTATTCTACTGGTAAATTGGAGTTGTTTCTTTTCAGGCTATTTAATTTACAAATATATGACCCAAGAAATGTACTTTTGAGGCCTTACTTGCTAGGCTGGGCTAAGCCCACCCCCACACCTTTCCCCTCTTGTCACTCATTCTCATCATTTCTGGGAATACACAAATACCTCTTTTTCTTATCAATACAGCCGCTTTAAATGAGCCTAGTGGATTTAGATTTTATGTGCTGTCCTATATAACTGCTTTTGTATCTGCTGCATCGTTAATGCTAATTTACTAGGATGAATACTTTGGACTATAGTAAACAACTCTTGGGTTTATTGAAATGGAAATCCAGCTTGCATGTCTTTGAAGCATCCAAATAACCATTTGGCTTTCAAATGGAAGAAAGCGGCATAGCATTATCTCCTTGATTCATTAAGCTTGTCTATAAAATTGAAACATTCAAGCAGATTCAGTGCTACTCATACATTTAATTGTCAAGGAAATTTTAAAATTCTGATTACTAATTATTTTTTTGAAAGTGACTTGTATGTTTATAAACATAATGGTTTCTCTTTCCCCAATTTGTTTAACATAAGTTCATGTTACTGTTGAGGTGATTATAAATTGTGCTTATACGTAAGGGCTAAAACACTTAAATACTCATAATGCAGCTCATAATACGGCTATGGAGGTGTTTCAGGAATAAAATGCTTGGGTAATCTTCCCTAAATCTGCAACCCATTAATGTAACCACTTAGAAACCAACACAAAAAGTAATTGGTCAAGAGGAACAATGATCCTTACAGAGAACTTTAAAAAGCAAGTTAGATATTACCTAGGTCTTGCATAAAGTGACAGTAGGGTAGTTAATCTGGAAGATTTCCCATATTTTATAATCACTATGGTGAAATATGATTAATTTAAGGAAAAGATTGATCTAGATTAGATTTCACAAAATGGAGTATTGAATTTGGCTACTGGCTTGAATAGTGTGTGATGTACTGCTGTATTTATAAGCATTTAGCTAGAATGATCACACAAAAGGAGAAATCAGACCAAAGGAATTTTTTTTCTGTTCCATAAATGCTGATAATTGGAATTTCTGGCACCAAAAAGGAGAAGACAAAAAATGAAACAGATGACCATGTCAAGAGAAGGGTTGTTCTAGCCTGAGCAGGTGCCATGGAATAAACCACAAGCTATTACTTTAAGTCCCATCTGGATTGAAGAGTTTTTCTTCTTTGTGCCACCATATTAAAATGCAAAGCCAGTCTGCTTTGAGTGCCAAGGCACAGAGGAATTCTTTAAACCTGCCAACCTAAAGACACCACTTTGAAACCCAGCGTAAAAACACTGAAGCAATCCAAATTCTTTAGCAACACATGACAAGGTCCATGTTTTCCTATAATTCTGTTGGTTGGGTGAAAATAATAGGCAGCTCTCAAGAAATACAAGATGAGTGATTAGGTTTGGAAAGGAACTGAGGCTGCCATCCTTAGTTCATCAAGCCTTAGACTGCAATGCCAGTATTGCCCGTGCAAATGATGGATTTTCCATTTCCATCTTCTAGAGTTGGAGGGGGCAGGTCAGTGGCCTGTTTTTCAAAGAATGTGTCATACTTATCGGCTCTGGTTTTTTCACACTGAAAAGCCTATGGGAATTCCTGCACTCCTGCTGTGTTTAATATTGTACTCGCTTTTATTCTCCAGCTTTGATGTGCAGTAGCACTGTGCAGATGCCCTTGTGCCTGGTTCATTCATCAGTATTTGATCCAGACACTGCTGGTGGCAAGAATTGGCACTAAACAGGAGCAGTGGGAGGAACGATGCAAGAAAATGTGTGTGTTTTGTAGAGTGATCTCGGAGGAGTTTGTAGCTTGGGAATTGTGTAATTTCTGCTGTCTGCACGGATGTTAATCTTGCTGAATTCACATGTCTGGCACATTTTTTAAAAAATTGTACCGAGAACGTATTGAAAATCCAATTGCATTTCTCCACAGCATTTTAGGAGAAGACATTCTGCAGCTTAGAAGGATTTATATTCTGCTGTCCTCTAAGTTGGGAGAAAACGGGCAATGCCTTTATTTAACAAAGGATAAGGAGAAACTTCCTAACAGTGAGGACAATTAACCAGTGGAAAAGGTGGCTTTAGAAGTTGTGGTTTGCTTCATCACTGGAGGTTTTCAAGAAGAGACTGGACAGCCACTTGTCTGAAATGGTATAGGGTCACTTGAGCAGGAGGTTGCACTAGAAGACCTCCAGGGTCCCTTCCAGCTCTATTCTTAATTAAATAGCTTAAAGCTTGCTTCTCTTCTGCTAAAGATGTAGAGAGAAAGAAGAGAATAAAGGCATTTGCTGGGCAGCCCTTTTACCCTTTCCTCTAAGACACTGTGCGAGGCAGGATATGGCTTCAGAAGCACAAATCAGTCCAAAGGATCCAAGAATTGCTGCAGTATGAGAGCCATATTGCTCCAGCCATGACTTGGTTTCCTAAACAGGGGGCAATCTCTACCCACCCCTAGGATCACAGGCTGCTGTAGATAGAGATGGTGTGTCAGATGCAAGAAACAACCTCCTAATCAGTAAACGTCAACTGCTGTGACAAGCCATCTTGGAACAATTGGTGCATAAAGGTTTGGTAGGAAAGAGCGGGATCCTGCTGGTAGCTTCATTAGGAAGGGAATTCCTATCTTCCATGCTGAGATTGTAGAAGCTAAGCTTTCCTGTCAGTATGCAATATGTATGGGTAATTGGGAACTACGGTTAGTTACTGGCATGCCACTGCCACCGAATTCTTGCAATACGATTTCATTTCTGCAGTCAGCAGAACAGCCTATTCCTCTGAGCCTCGAGGGGAATATTTCCTGCCCTGACTCTGGCCCATTCTCATCCCTTATGATTCTTAAGCCCTATTAGGGATCCTGACTAGCAAAGCAGTGGCTTACAGTACTCTGTCAAAAGCTGCCGTCTAGGACCAGCATCAGAGCTGGGTTTAAAAAAACCACATTGGGATGCTACACTAGGAACTACGCCACCTTTGATCACTTGGGCTCATACAGTTTTTCTCCAGAGCAAAGGATTCTGTGCTGTTTGTTGCATCATGCTGTTCACTGTGCCGGGCTATAGTAGGGTCAGTGAATGAGGTGCATTCACGGGAGATGGGGAAGAAAAAAAAGGACAAAAACTTGTTGCCTTAGCAACCGCATATGAGGGGGGTGCCATAGCACCATGGAAATTTCCTTCCCAACTGCCCAAGAGGTGGCTGCAAAGAATTTCTTGCTTGGAAGCCCAGGAAAGTTAGAAACCGGAAAGACTGTTGAGCAGCAAGACAGCTGATGGGAACAAGCTGGGATTCCAATAGTTTTGGAATTGCATTGGATTTTGAGTATGGGTTGAGCTAACCAGGAAATTCCTTTGAATGTGGATCAGTCTCTGGATACCTGTGGTTGACCTGCATGCTGAATATTCATATGCAGCTCCAGAGCACTCTGGAGTGGGCATCAAAAAAGTCTTAAATCAGGGGTCAGCAACCTGCGGCTCTGGAGCCACATGTGGCTCTTTCACCCCTCTGCTGCGACTCCCTGTCACTCAAAATATGCGTCACAACCACCAATGTGTGACACCAGCCGGCACGCGATTTATTGAGCTTTTCAACCCCCGGTAGGCCAACCATAGATAAATCCAAGAAAAGAAAAGTTTCAGAAGAAAACAGAACGTTTAATTCAACTACATATGCTAGTTTTGTGGCCGCTCAAGAAATAGTCAGGCATGGGAAGGGTTTTGTGGCTCCCAGTGTTTTCTATGGGAAACGGGTCCAAGTGGCTCTTTGAGTGTTTAAGGTTGCAGACCCCTGGTCTAAGTCGTGGCAACTCTGGAGGGGGTATTTAACATTTTGCAATGCTGGGGGAGCTTGAAAGCAAAATTTCTCCAACATGGCTTGTATGTTTTACCCCCTGATGATGGTATCTGTTCAATAGTATCCGATTCTCAGTGGCTCTATGGACCAGGCTCTAGGGCTGATTTTTTGTTTATTTTCTGTTTATTTGTTCCACTTACAGCCACCTATATTTACAGGCTATGAACGATAAATCACAATTTATTAACTGCTTTCACCAAGGTATGGTACAAATGAGAATGGCACACAGTAATTACAATGAATTCAATAAAGTTTAGTCATGACCTAATAGTCAAGTCAGTAAGGAGCTATTAACCAATAAGACAAAACAGACACAACTATGTATAATTGCATATTGGGATTCAGGATGGCATTGGTGAGATTCCTAGGAAGTGCCTCATGGGGCAAACCTATCAAATGTCCTTAATTTGAACAAGGTTGCTGCATCATTTGCTGCTTAGCAAATTTGTAGCCTTGGGATATTTGTGCTGGCATAATTTAAAGGTTGGCTTTAAAAGGATTATTAATTTGCTATACATGGAGTGTTTCTGTTGACTTAAGTCTCCCACCCCCACTCTACCCCATTTCTAATGATCAAAGGACTTGTGTCTTGGCACTTTCTTTTACTGATTTCACATATTGTAAATTTGTATTTTAAAGAGTTAAGCGAGAATAAGCGGTCATGGCCAGGTTCACATATAATGCTAAGCCATAAATTAATCAAGTCATGTTGAGGCTTCCTTTGATATATGAATTCATCATCTGTGATTTACAATTTATTTAGGTTAGCTTTTAACCTGTTCATATGTATTCTTCAAATTATGGGGTTGGACCTGAGGAGCATGTTTTTTGTTTTTTTTTAATAATATTCATTGGTTGAGCAGAAACTCTTGGGGCCAAGATGGTGGTTTGGAGGGAGCACTGAAAGCAAAAACTTTGTAGCACATACATATATGTGTGTAATTTCCTTCTATAGTGGATGGTCCTTAGCAGAACAAAAGAGTCTGCATCTTTGCATTAAGCATCTTCATCATCATTACCAAAACTTAACTAAAGAGAAATTGAAAATCCACAAAAGCCAAGACTAGGCAAAAGAATTAAATTGTCTGATGCCCTAAGTATTTATTATTTACTGGATCTTCTTCTGTTTGTTTGCTCATAGAACATACTTTGGAAAACCTGACATCATTTTCATGAGGACAGCAGGCAAATATATTTCCAGCCTGGTTTAAACCAGCTCTCTGCAAATATCCTCGTGGAAAACAATGGATTCTAGGTACAAGAGTGGGTACCTACTTTTTGTCTTGGAATACTGTGGCAAAGGTGAATACAATAAGTACCGGTATAATAAGTCCGGTATTTAAGTCCGGTAATATCCGGTATACCGGTATAATAAGTATCAGTATAATAATTCCGAAATGAAGTGATACCTTAATATGACTTTCTCTGTAAATCCAACTACTGTACACAGATTGAAATAATAGAGCTCTGGGTATACCAGAGGAATGTAATTTTAAGGTTCCTTCTGTTAAAAAAAATTGTACATTGGAAACAACAAGGAGAAGACATTTTAATACATATATACAAATACAAATATATATACAAATATATATTCGTATATTTCCAATATACAAATCTTTCTCTATGCCATGTTGCTAAATGCACTGAGGACAGGAACAACTCTGAATTATATCACTTTGTTCTTGCAGCCTCATTTCCCATAGTGTGTAAAGTACAGCTATAGATATGCTGGAGTTCACCCACAATCCATCTTATCCAGTCAGAACCCTATGAAAAGCAGGGCACAGATGTGCTTGGATCCACTCATTCAGCTTTCCCAGAGATTGTCACTGAGTGGCACACTATGATGTGATTGCTGCCATTGACACATTTATTTTTGGCAATATTGTCTTAGTCTCCTTGGGAGAAGCTTAAGCGTCTTTCCTGTTAACTGAGAAAGAAACAAAAGTTAGGGATTAAAAATGGAAATTTGAATGCTCTTAGAAGCCTAAATAACAATATATAAACCCTATCTTATTTAATAACACATCCTGGAGAGAAAGGTTTAGAGGCATCCTCCTGATATTCTGGTTTTCTAGATGTGTATGTTTTTAAAACTGTGGACCCTGTAAATTTCATTTGTCTGGTGCACTCACAGTTCTACCATTTCAGTCTGCGCAATATGTAATTCAATCTCATCAAAAGATCCATATTATCATGTCCATGCTATTTTTTTTTCTCCTAGATTCCAAAAAGTTAGGTTTCCCCCCACTCCCCCATGGTTATGTGTAATGGTAAATGTAGAAACTTGTCTAATTGACATTTCTTGTTTACTCACAGTCTAGCTGTATTCTGCACTCTTGGGAGCCCCTTTTTGGAGGCATCCAGTTCCCGAAGCCATTATCATCCCTCCCAGGCCCAGCCGTTGAGGCAGAAGAAGCAACAGACGGTGAGAAGAGGCTAAAGTCATGCCATGTGGTCTCTAAGGAAAAGCAAACAACAACTGAAAGCAGACTGTTCTTTTAGATCTCCGGTGATCCATCCTTATGGAATTGGATGATAAGAATTGGGAATCTAGCTATTAGGAATAAAGACTTTTCTCCCTTTCCTTTTTTCTCTGATCTGAAGGCTGAAACAGAAGAGCCACCTCCCTGCAGGAGTTAGACATTCAGGGAGCTGATGGGTATAGCCAAATCATTAGCCTTTTCCTAGAGAGAGCAGGTTGAAATCAACTCAGCCACAAAGAACTTCTTGAGCCAGTCCTCTAGCCTTCTTTCCAGAAATGTAAAGATAAAAGTAGATGTCTTAAAGCACAAGGCTATGGTTGACAATTCTAAAGATTTCATCTACAGGAATCTGTGATGTATAAAGTCTCATGGAATGAAGCTATGGTCTCTGAAGTTTGGATCTCTGATTTCCATGCCAAGGGGGAATCATGTCTTCTTAATTTTTTTAACTTCTTAGGTTCTGAGCCCATCTCGTTTGCAACATAAGAAGTGCTCTGTCCTTCCTGAGGAGCCAGAACCATTGAGTGCTTCATCCCCTCATTTACTGCCTGACTCCAGCTCCCATGAGGGAAAGCCCCCTAAATCGAATTCCACAAGCCCCTTCAATGAGTCATGGCCCTCAACTGAGCACAGTTCTTCTTCCCTGACTTCAGAAGGAAAAAAGGATCTTCCAGCACAGCATTCATCAGAGGCTAAGACCCTGGATGCACAAAAGCTCCCAGATTCTGCCTCAGACAGTGAATCCATTATTGCCAAGTGAGTCCAGTTGTAAGAGTCACCTTTGAAATGGCAGAATGAAGCTGAGGAACAGATGAATGGGCTTTGTAGATGATGGCCTTGGTTGTTTTTCTATTGATCCTTTTTCCTTAGAGTCCTGATTTCAGGTCCACCTGAAGATGATGATTGTCTACTGGCCAAACTTCCTTTCCTTTTCTTTGGCAGGTATATTGAGCGGTTTCGCTACGGGAAGCCCACTGATCGTAAAGAGCGCTTGGCATCTAGCGGCGGTTCAACTGAGTTCTGGTGGCTTAGCCACTCATTTCTCCCAGATGGAGAATACTCTAAGAAGGAAGCATCGCTATCGTCAGGTAATTCAATCCAAAAGAATAGAAATCTGGCTAGGTTCGTGCATTGTACTCAGTCATCGTCTGTCTTACCATGTTTTATTTGGAGCAGTGGCTGAGTTCATACCACTTTGCTATGCCAAAATAAGTAACCACATTGTGACTTTTAACACAATGTGTGAATACAGTTCTTAGGGACACAGAGCTTTTGTCAGACCAAGGCAAAGTCTGAGTTTTCTTGTGGAAATAAAAGTTGCATTAAGCACAGGGACGGTGGCAATAGATGGGAAGAACTTTTCATTTGGAAGTTTATAAATATGGCTGTAGGCACACAGGGTCATGTTATCCTTGGGCAACCTCTACTTTCCAGTTCCCAGTTGGGAGACACGAAGTATTGTTAACAATTCTTAGCAAGTGTGGATAATGAACAGCCTTGTCAAGAGGACAACAAGTACTGCATTGTCTTCATCCACTTTGTAACTATTGGGCATTGGTATAAGGTTTTTTTTTAATAAAAGTAATAGTGAAGGGATCCTGAGAATGGCAGAGACTTGGATAATGTTCTTGGTTCCTGAATGTTTTATGCATCCTAGCATTTCCTGCAAGTGGTCTGTTCATAGAGTTTTTGTAGACCTGCTGGAAAGGCGTGTAGGTGATAACTGTGGTTCAGAGGGAACTCTGCAGCTCCATATTTCCATCACATCTGATGCAAATATCAAGAATTTCCTAACCCATTGAAGCATCCTGTGATTTGTTTTTTTTCCCTTCTTCTTTGTATGTAAAATATTTTGAAAAGTTATTCCTTTAGAAAGATGATTGCTTTATATAAATCCTTCACTTTTAATGGAGACGTCTCTTTGCAGATAGCAGCCAAAGTGAAGTGAGGTCGTCTCTTTTCAGTCCCATCCTGACTCAAACTGCCTTGGTGAGTAACAAGATATTCTCCTAGACAAGAGGCAGAAAGTAACACAACTCTGCTGGCTTCTTTCTTTTCTGTTTTTCCAGCTCATGGGTAGCCTTGGGCCCAGAGAGTTGAGAAAGCTGTATTTGACAGTGGGGACCAATCCTTATCCGCCATAAAGCTCAGCCTACATGAATGACGTTGAGTTGAGGTGGCTTCTGAGCCTTGCCTCTTTCAGACTGTGAGAATAAAAGAGAATGTGCCCATCTTTGCGGCCCTGAGCTTCTTTAAGGGAGGCCAGAATAGAACTGCAGTCGATACATTCATCAGATACATCTGATGAAATGTGCCTGCATAGGCTTTGTCAAATACATACTCTGAGTAATTGCTCTGCTCTAGGTAGAGAAAAATGTAAGATGTGTTACAGTGTTTCATTAGATTTCTCGAGTTTCGTTCCCCCAGTCGCTTCCTTGTCTTTTTATCAAGGACTTAAGAACTTTTAGAAATTCTGAATTTCCAGAGGAGGGAAATCTTGCTTTAAAAATGTTCACCTACAATGAGCAGCAGACAACTTTTCATTGCTTCTGTCTCAGGAGTTTTCTGTTACTGATGACCTTATCTCCTCCCCTCCCCCCTTCTGCCTTTACCTTCTGCCTACATGAGAGTTACTTTTCATGGTCACATTGCATAGTACCGCCATCTCCCTCCATCCCCCAATAACTTAGATATTTTGCATTGGTGTGCATTTCCAAAGGTGTCAAAAATTCCACTCTTCTCCATCTGGCAAAATCTTGGCATGCTTTCCCCCATAGAGTTCTTTCTTTACACTTTCTTTATACATTCTTTGCAGGGAGAAATGCAAGCCGCTACCGCATTTGACGCTGAGACAGTGAGCCTGCAGGAAAGAGCAGCTAGGGTCATAAGCAGAAGGTACTGGCCTGATTTATATTTTGTCCATCACCCAATAGACCAATGCCATTTTCCAGTTCTGTGTGGGGTCTCAGGAAACTGATATTCCCCTCTTTCCTTCCTAACAAGATGCCTTTTTCAATCTGTCTTCTGCTTATAGCATCTCACCACTGAGTAGTTTCAGGCCTGTAAGCTCTGAGGGGTTTGATTCTACTGCTACATCCACCAACCCAAATAGCACCCCAGACTTGCCTCAACATGCTCTACAACACCCTGCAGCACACCAAGTCAAAGGTAGGGCGAGATCTGTGATCTAGAATGATTCCCCCCCCCCCCAGAGGTATTTATAAGTTTGTCTATATAAGGGAGGCCATGAGAGGGTGTCTCTCTCTCTCTTTCTCTTTCTTCGTGTATCAGTCTCCTTGTTGTGTTCTATCTGCATTGCAGTTCTCTGTGTAGAGCTGAAGAGTGATTGCTTGCCTGGTATGTGCCTACCATGTGAATGTATGTATATAGAAGTCTTGTATATAAACCACTGTTTGTAAGACAAACCTCTGTGTCCTGTATTTTGCTCCTGGGTTGTCTCAAAATAGTAGTCGCGCTGTAAACACTCTGGCAGGTCTAAGTGAAAGAAATGGCTACAGAGTGAAAGGGGAATGGGAGAACCCATGTTCAATCAGAAAAGATAATCTATGTAAGTTTATTTATGAAAATGAATCTGTTATGGAGGGAAAAAATGCAGGACGTAGATAAAAGATGGGGGATTCAGGGCCTGGAAACCTTAAATCTGAGAAGGATTTGAATGTGGTCATTGATAACAAGTTGAACTTGAAACAGCTGCTAGAAGAGGTATTGCATTTCTGGGCTGCATTAGAAAGAGAATGATATCAGAGATCTCAGAATAATTATTCCTTTCTACTTGGCATTGGTGAAACTACACCTGGAGTTGTATCTGATTCTGGGTCCACCTTTCCAGGAGATATTGCCAGATTAGGCAGAGTTCACAAGAGGGAAGTGATTTAATGACATGTCTGGTAAAGATAGGGTGAAGGAATTTGGCATGTTCAATCCCAAAGGGAGGTATAATAGCCATATTCGGGTGCATAAAGAGAAGTTGGAGGAAGATGATCAAGAATCACATTCCATGTTTACAGAAACTAGGAGCAGAAATAAAGGGACACAATTTTCAGTAACCATAATTTTGCTTAAATATAAGGAAAAATTCCTGATGGTAACATCTGTATAACAATGGGTCAGTGCACCTATAGAGGCTGTGTATTCATCATCTCTGAAGATCATTACAAAGAGGTGGACAACCATTTCTCTTGCTTGGTTTCCCTGAACTTTGTAGATGATTAGACGAGATGAACCTATTGGCCCCTTTTAACTCTAAAATTATATGAGATGTTCATGAACCACTCATATAGCTCTTTTGCACGGATGACTTCCAATTCATAACAATGTCTTTTTTTTTTGTTTTCCAGAAAGCTTAGTTCTTCCTTATCATACCACTCCAAGTTCTAATATAGCCCACTCTTTAAAACCAGAAGATGACATTCTATTCCAGTGGCGCCTGCGACGGAAGATGGAGGAAGCAAGCAAAGTCGTTGCTGCAATGCCTCCTGAAGTTTGGAGGAATCTGTGCTTCCAACCAACCTGTGCCTCTGGAAAAGTAAGGATTTGAAATCAATTAGTGGAATACATGTAGATTTGGAACTGATGGAATGAAGAGATGCTTTCTTTCCAGTGGCTGTTTCATTCCATTGAATTGAAGATTTTGAATTGACCGCTGTACAAGTATATGCAAAAGAAACATCTTCATAAAATACCTATTTCTGCAAACCGCACACATGCATCCACCTCCACATCAGTGGTGGGTTGCTACCGGCTCTCCCCAGTTCTTGTGAACCGGTAGTGGAAATTTTGAGTAGTTCGGAGAACCGGTAAATACCACCTCTGCCTGGCCCCGCCCCCAATCTATTCGCTGCCTCCGAGTCCCAGCTGATTGGCTAGAAGGAAAAAAACTGTTTAAACTCTTGCCACGGCACTTCAAAGGGCCACCCTACAGCTGATCAGCGATAAAAGGCAGTGTGGTGGTAGACCAGTGCAAACAAATGGGTAGACCGGTGTGCTCCAAAAACAAATGGGTAGACTGGTGCGCTCCAAAAACAAATAAGTAGACCAGAACACTCCAAAAACAAATGGGTAGACCAGTACAGCTCTGCAAGCAGTTAAAAGTCTGGTAGACCAGTACCTCTTGTAAATCCTAAGGAATTGTCACATGACCATCAAACCATGCCCACAAAATAAGCCACGCCCACAGAACCGGTAGTAAAAAAATTTAGAACCCACCCCTGCTCCACATATACTCTCCGGCCCAAGAACATTTAATTTTCATGAATGTTTTAGCAAGCAGCCTAGGTTATGTTTTATCTGAAAGTCAGCAGCAGAATTTAGCCCTGTGTTGCATGTCAAGAAAACTGACAGGGCAAATACAGAATGCTCCATTAAGGGAAAGAACATGGTGTTATGGCTCCTGATAACTTTTGGACTGCTTTCTTTCATCTTTGTGTAACTTCATGGCAAAAGAGGCGTATAAGATATCTGATTTTGGTTCAAAATTAATCAGATGTTTATAATGAATATTTCAAATAATGCATATATTGGTAAAATGACTTCTGTATGAGTCAGTGAAGACATATATTAGTTAAAATGGCTTACGGCAATTACATCATAGTAGTATTTAACTTTCTTGTGTAGTAAAATTCAATATCAATGTTAACAAAGGAGACAACAGCTGTGCTGATGAAGGAATTCGAAGGAATTCTTGGTTTATTCTCGCAATAGGCACTTCTTCATTGCGTGCTAGGAACTGAAGGCCAGAAATGCTCTTAAATATTTTTTTATTCCACCTTGCAGATGGAAAGAGAAGTTCTGAAGTCAACTGAGCCAACCCCTCGGAGGGACACAGACCAAAAAGTGTTGTCAACTTCCGAGTCCCACCTAGATATTAAATATACCCAGAGTCAGTGCCATCCTTGCTCCTGTGCAGGCATGCTGAGGAATGGAGTCACTTCTGGGCAGCGTATTGAAATCATTTCCCCCAGTAATGGGATAGTGGTAACTGGAGGTTCTGAAGGCAGAGATGAGCCAATTGTGAAGGATCCAACCCCACAAAAAGACCATATTCCTGATTACCTGGAAACATCTCCCTCAAGACCTGCAAAAGCCAATGAGTCTTTGGGCCAAACAACTTCACGTCATGTTCAACGGACAGCTCCATCTGACCAGGGAATGCACCTGGAACTCAGCAGAAGATCAGGGCTTTGCAGAGACAAGCAGAGTCAAGCAAAACCAATTCCAGACCCCAGACAGTCAACACGCAGCCCTACAAAGCATTCAGTTCAACATGTACTATCAGAGGTAAAATCCCTAATCCATCCGCCTGATTGTTATCACAGAACAGTTCTGTGGCATTAGCAATAGTGTTTAGATTTACATACCGCTCCATAGTGCTTCACAGTTTACAATGTGGGTCCTCATTTTACCGGAAGGATGGAAGGCTGAGTCAACCTTGAGCCAGTTAGGATCAAACTCCTGGCTGTGGGCAGAGTTTGCCTGCAATATTGCATTCTAACCACTGCACCACCTCATAAATAGAACTGCAGTGCTTCAGATTCAAAATGTACGGGCCTTCATGAAGTGCTGCATATACGTTTTTAAAGTAGCCGTGTCTTCCTGGGATCATCAGGATGGCCAACTGAATAATACTGAATTGTAAAGATCCCATGTCATTGGGTTTTTGAGAACAATGATTTAAGATTATGTTCCAAGGAAAGAAGTTATTGCCTCTCTTCTCCAATCTTGGGGCCTTAAATTCATTAGATTGGCCAGTGTGCAACCCAAATACACTGGACTCGTCAAGCTGGTCTCTTGGCCTGATCCCACAGAAACACTATTGTTTACCTTTGAAAGGAAGGCAACAGGATTCGTAAGAGCATTAAGCAGGTCAGCTTTAGCCTCTTTCGTGTCTACTTTCCTACTCAGGTCCTGAGAACAGAAGGCAGTTTGAACGGGCTTCCTTTTTTCTGTCTTGCCCAGGTAGTTGCTGAAAGGCTTTTCTTCCCACCTGATTCTCCAGCTCTTCCTCGTGACAAACCAAAGAGAAGCTCAAGAACTTTGGGTCCAGAGAAGGCTATTCCAAAGAACGCTGTCACTCCCACCCATCCCCAACTCCTGAACATGGCTGCTCAACTGCTGGAGCAGGCTGAAGGTATAGTAGAATCCACGGGGACAGGACAGGTGGCTTGAATATCATGGGGATCTTCATCGCAGCAGCCATTTTGAGAAGGGGGATTACACTGCATTTTGCTGTGCATTTCTAAGTGCAAATTTATTCTTCCCACTTGGGGAGTTTTTCCATCAAGCTGGGATGTGGGTCAAGGTTCTGATTCTCTTGTTGGCTGTCCCGGGGCACGAGGGTAGAGTGCGATCGCTCTGCAATGCTTCTCTTGGGCAAGGGGTGAATTTAATTTGAACTCTACAACTTAAGTTAATCATACTTGGGAAGAAATAAGGATCTAGTTGGAAATGAGATGACGAACACATGAAAGAGGCATGATACAAACAAACCGTGTCATGTTGCATAGCTGTAGCATGTAAGTTTTATTTTACTGGCTTGCTCTGCAATCTGACTGCATTCCTAGTTGGCATAGCCCTGATCCAAGCAGGAAGCTGTTGAAAGCTCCAACCGTAGTGGCTGGATGCTGCTCCATGGTTATTTTAATAGGAACCCTTTCAGCATGTGTCATTCCCTTGCTAGCCAGCGCAGATGGGAACAGAGCCAAAGGCACCGGTCAAGTTCAATTAAGAGACAGAAAGGTTTGTGAGATCTGGACAGTGGAAGGGGGAAGTGGGGGGGGGGGGGAGAAGGAAGTCAAGACGAAGGCTGCAGCAGTTGAAGAGTTCTGTATTTGTGAGGGAGTGAAAAAAAGAGATCCTAAGAAATTGGGCTTAAAGGATACAATGGCGTCCTAGGAACAGAGATATGGCTTGGCTTTAATGGGGACAGTTAGTGGTGGAATTTAACAGAAGTGGCTTAAAATAAAAGAGATGGTTAAAATAACAGAGATGCTATTTTTCTTTTGTGTAGACTCAGATGGCTTGGAATTTGAAGACGACCCTCTATTACAAGTGTTGAGAGGTCAGAGGGAATCGTTGCGCAACGAGCTTCGGTAAGTAGCCATCCTTCCCCAAATGCTTGGAGGATTTGGGATGGTGACTTCTTCAGAGGTGCTTCTAGCAACTGTTTAGTCATTAAATGGAATCTGCCTCTCTTTAGTTTCATCAGACCTTCTAATATTGTAACACACAGTGATCGTTATCCATTCCCCTCTAGTACTTTTCTGGGTATTGACAGGAAGATGTGTATTTAATTCTGAAAAAGCTGCAAGAAGCATCTTACAGGACTGAGTGAATTCAGCTCGATCATCTGACTGTAGGGGTTTTCTTTTTTTGGTAGTGCTGTTTAAGATTCAAATTCCTAGGCCTCCTATATAAAATGGAAAGCATGCGCTAAGTGCCAGAGTACAGTATTTAAAAATTCAGAGTTTTAACTGCCAGCTTATTTTTAAAATGTTCAGTAAAGTTTGTCATCTTGCTTGTTCTGGAAAAGGAGAACAAATTTTGCAAACCATGTAAATTTGTCTAATGTACATGCATCTCTTGCTTAAGCTTTGTTGGTTTTTCTCTAGAACCCAGGGTGGGAATGCTCATTGCTTTCTTGTGGGTGCAGTTGCATTGCTCCCTGCTTCTCAACCGTGGTTCCATTCAAGATCTATCGGATTCTGCTGGCCATTGTTTTCTGCTGTTAACTCTGGTTTCATGTTTTATGTTGCTCTGGTGCCCTCTGGCCCTGAAAGTGGCATGCATTTATGTTTCATTTGCTTGCAGAGCTGTGGATTTCCAGATCACTCAGATGGAAAGTAACTCCTTTGATCAGGGCGTCTCTCACCGATGACCACCTCCTGTGCTTTCTTTGTTGAACCCTGGGTGGTTTAAGGTCCCTCCCTCAAGGCATTGCCCAGCATTATCAGGCACTTCAGGATGAATTCAGTCAAAGGGTTTTGAAGGTGCTTTTTATTTATTTATTTTATTAACTCTAGTGGTTTTTGATGTCTGCCTGCCCTTAGCAGGCCAGCATTTTCCTAGAAGATATTTTGGGATTGCAGAATAGCCAAGCGATGATGTGTAGGGATGCCTCCACTTTATATTCAGTGTGCTGTTTCCATGGTTTCGGTGTATATTTCACATTGCATTTAAAATAAATGTGTATTTTTGGATCAAAACAAATTGTGATAATTTGCAGTGTACTCTAGCCAGATACATTGCGTCTAATGAAAAGTGGATCAATGGAGTTCAAACTCATTTGTCTCAGAGAAATGGGAATGAATATTTCCTTGTACAAAGAACAAAGGGAATCTTTTTGGGAAGGGGGAAAAGAGTATTTGTTTTGGAACAGAAAAGAAGGCTAAAGATCTCACCCTCGAACCCAAATTAAGTTTAGCTTGTTCCTTTTTTTTAATTCCATCTTTTCAGTTGATAGTCCATCAAACATCAAAATATTTTCAAAAATCCATAAAACCCGTTATGACATCTTTTAGTAAAATAATTAAACCTGCTGGGAAACCAATATGAGATCAAAAACAGTACGAGAATTCAAGTTGGAGAAGACAGGAAAATAAACAGATGAACAGAATCTACAAAGGAAAATAAATACAGGCCAGCTTCAGTCTGAGAAGGATGTCTCACACAGTTATGGGTCTTTTAGTTACGGGGTCATGATTCTTGCCTGCCAAACTTATTTATACATAAAAAAATTGTTAATTGTCTTGAGCATTGGGTGGGAAACAAATTTCCAAAGTGCAGGTTCAAGCCCACAAGTCAGATTTCTAGATACTTTTGCAACTACTGATTTATTGAACGTACCTTACCCAACGGTATGCAAGTTAACTTCAGTTGCATTCAAGTGTGAACTGCTTCTATTGTTTTTCTAGACTTTCTCCTTTTATAGCTTACTCAACTGTCCTCATACAATTTTTTTAAAAAATGTTTTATTGCAAATAAACCTGCTTTAAATAGTTGGATCCCTGTTTGGAGATTATGTCAGCAGTCAAAAAGTGACTTACAACTGTAACAGTACTTCTGCCCAGTACAGGTAGTCCTCAAGTTACAAACAGTTCACTTAGTGACCCTTGAAAGTGATAACATCCAAAAAGTATCTTAACATTTTTCACACTTACGACCAACATCATCCATTTGATTTTGTATTCAAGTGAGGACTTGAAGTTAGATCTCTCAATCTCAATGCTCCTGGACTATGTTGCATTCCTGAAAAAGGATCCTTTCAGTATCAAGCAGATTTGGAAAAGAAGGAAGAAATGGGCTGAAAGATGAGTTTCAGTTGTGCCCTGTTTCACGTGTGTGTGTGTGTGTGTGTGTGTGTGTGTGTGTACAACGTTCAGGCTACTCGCATCATCTTCTCCCCTTCTGTTCAATCCTGTCTGATTTTCGAAGATTGTCTGGATAAGTCCCTGCAATTTTCTTGGCAAGGTTTTTCAGAAGTGGTTGGCCATTGTTTCCTTCCTAGGGCTGAGAGAAAGTGCCTGGCTCAAGGTCACCCAGCCGGCTTCATGCCCAATCACCCATCATGTGCCAAATTCCAATTTATAGAAACTACCGCTACGGGATGATTTATAGACCAGGACCTTCGGAAAGTAACATTCTTGCTACTCTTGTTGAGAGTAAATGACAACATTGTCCTTTTGCAAACCAAGCACTTTTCTCACTGGATACAGAAAATCTGGAAAATAGCTTTGATAGGAAAAATTGATTGACCATAGAATAGCATTAAAAGAACCCAGAGAGGCTAAGATGGTTCCAGTGCATTAGCCACAGCAACAGAAAGTTGCTCATGTGTATCCCACAGATGAAATTCTGGGAGAGTGTTTTTAATGATCTAGAGAATATAAATAACAGGATAAGACAGACCTTCTGAGACAGCAAGAAATTCTGTTTGGTTCCTTGAGATGGAGGTTGGGGCCATTTCTGAGCAAAACTTGGATGTTGATCATTTCCTGAGTGTAACGCTGCGGTACGAATCAAGCCTAATTTTGTTGGAATAAGAAGGTAGAAAAAAATAAGAGCGATAGGCGAATGGGGATCCCAGGATGGTACAGGTGGGTCCTTGGCTTACAACCATTCATTTGGTGACTGTTCAAAGTGACAACAGCACTAAAAAAAGTAACTTATGACCGTTTTTCATACTTATGACCGTTGCAGCATCCCCATGGTCATGTGATCAAAATTCAAACACTTGGCAATTGACTCATATTTATGACGGTTGCAATGTTCCGGACTCAGGTGATCATTTTTTTCTGACAAGCAAAGTCAACGAAGAAGGCAGATTCACTTAATAACCATGTTACTAATTTAAGGAATGCAGTGATTCCCTTAACAACTGTAGCAAGAAAGGTCACCAAATGGGGCAAAACTCACTGAACAGTCTTGCTTAGCAACAGAAACTTTGCGCTCAATTGTGGTCATCAGTCGAGGACTTAAGCTGTACCGATCGAAGAGAATATTTGCAGCTCAAGATTAATCTGTGGGGTCCTTGGTGCTCTCTGAGCTTGGTGGTTTTCTTGCAGACATTTTTTTTATTATTTTTTTTAAAAATTTGATTTATATGCCGCCCTTCTCCGGAGACTCAGGGCGGTTTACAGTGCATTAAGCTATAGCCTTCATACTTTTGTATATTTTATACAAAGTCAGCTTATTGCCCCTACAAACTGGGTCCTCATTTCACCTACCTTAGAAAGGATGGAAGGCTGAGTCAACCTTGAGCCTTGGAGAGATTCGAACTTACTTTAATTGCAGACAGCTGGTGTTAAATTACAGTGCTTTTGTCTGCAGAGCTATCCAGGCTCTGGATTTCATTTTCAATGTAAGTATTATCAACACTAGTAGTGGTGCCCCCTTCTAGCACTGAGGTTGTTACCTGTTATTTTGCACTAATTGCATCAGAAAGAGTGGGAGAGGTGATTGCTGATTAATAGGGCTCCCTCAATGCATTCCTGAAGGGACGTGGTGGCTCATTGGCTAAGACACTGAGCTTGTTGATCAAAAGGTCGGCAGTTCAGAGGTTCGAATCCCTAGTGCCACGTGATGGGGTGAACTCCCGTTACTTGTCCCAGCTTCTGCCAACCTAGCAGTTCGAAAGCACATTAAAAAAAAATGCAAGTAGAAAAAATAGGGACCATCTTTGGTGGGAAGGCAACAGCGTTCCATGCGCCTTTGGCGTTTGGTCATGTCGGCCACATGACCACGGAGACGTCTTCGGACAGCGCTGGCTCTTCGGCTTAGAAACGGAGATGAGCACCGCCCCCTAGAGTCGGGAACGACTAGCACGTATGTGCAAGGGGAACCTTTACCTAATGCATTCCTGAATCCCAATTGACCTCCCTGTGAACTACCTGGGAGGATCCATGCTTCAGACGATACAGCTGGGACCTGTATTGAGAAATAACTTATTCCGTTAGGTACTGGAATCTCACTATGTCAGTCTACCTTGGCGTGACCCACTTGTGATGACAGAGCCACATCAGCTTGTGTTAGGGCAGGATTACACCAACGCACAAAGCATTCATTCATGGATATTAAAGATTTGGAAAACGATCTTCTAAGCTTCTGTAAGAACGATGGTCCTTCTGGCCTTCGTAGGATATTTTTGATGCGTACCGAGAGAAGACAGGCGGAGGGGCTTTGGGTTCAAATTGGCAGCTTGATCCCAGCTTGTTCTCTCCTGTTCCTTCAATAGTTAGGAAGGAAAGTTTTTCAGTCCCTCTCTTCCTGAATTCCAGAGGTGATGGACTTTGCTCCACATAATCCCCAACTAGCCATTAGGCTTTTGGGAGTTAGTGCCCATCACATCTGGAGAGTGACCTTTGGGCGTGAGAAGGGGCGAGGGCTTCTGTGCCTCCGTCAATACCTCTGAATTGTTTTGTCTTATTCCTGGGTAATCACCCAGGCTTGTTTTTTGTATGTGGACCTACAAAAATGAAGAGTTTGGAGGCAGGGATGGGTGTGGATAATGGGGGACAACCTATTCCCAACGGGGCCTGCCTCCACCCAGGTGAGAACTCTTCTGGGGAGCAACACCAGCGCTTTCAGCTCTTTCCTAATACAGCCACTACCAGCCCTAGAAAAGGGAGGCGGCTGATTTACACAAGGACCGGGGAATGTGGGAAGAAAGAATAAATACATTTTTTTTTAATATGTGATAAAAAGGAGGAGGAAAGTGAATTCTCCCCAGACGCTGGGCTTCTACAGGGCACGGCGGGCGGGCATCAGCGCGAATGAACTGGACCGAGGACCTGGCAAATATCAGTGCCTCCGGTCTCCGGGGGTGGGGTGGGTTGGGGGGGCCAGTAGAGAAAGTGTCGATATAATGAACATTTGGGGGAGGGAAAGTGCTCAAGGTTGCTTCTGGGAGCTGCGGTGGTGGTGGGGGGGGGGGGCGCAGATACAGAGTTGCCGGCTGCGCTAACAGAAGCCCCTTTGTGCAGCCCCTTCCAGCTGCTTCGCCGGCCGCCCCTTTTGTTTTTTTATATTTTATATACCTCGATCCGTAGATTTATATCGATACTTTGCAAAAAAAAAACAAAAAAACCAACCCTTTCCCCCGGGGGAGAGGGGGGGCGATTGCACTAATAAGCAAGAGCTGGTGTTGCATGTGGAGGGAAGGAGGGGGGTGCAGAAGGAACGATCTGCTTCCCCCACTATCTCCACCTTCCCGGCCCCGCCGCCGCCGCCGCTGCTGCCGCCTTCTTCGTGGGCCTCGGCTCGCCTCCCCTTTTGTTGCAAGCGACCGATCGATCCCCGCTACTACTACTCCGCCGCCGCCGCCGAAGCCTCCTCCTCTCCTCCTCCGCCGCCTCCTCCTCCGCTGCTCTTTCTCCCGAAGGCTGAGCCCGCCCCCGCAGCCAGCCAGCCAGCCAGCCAGCGAGAAAGCGAAGGCAACGAGCGAGCGAGCGAAGCAGGCACGAGTGCGCCATCCCACGCCACCTCGCCTCTCGCCTCGCCTCCGCTCGCCCGGCTGCCTCGCCGCCTCGGGGGCCGGCTGGAGACCAGGAAAGGAGGACGGGCCAGCAGCATCCGAGGGGCCGGGCCGGAGCGGATCGGGTGGCGGCGGCGGCGGCGTCGGAGTCGAACGGCTGCGCTGCGCCCTCCCCTATTGTCTCCGCTCCGGCTCGGGACTGGCTCGGGCGGCCGTCGGCGCGGCACAGCGGGCTCGCGGCGCCATGGTGGTGAGTGAAGGCTCGGGGTGGGCAGGGCAGGAGGGGTCTCGTCTGTCGGTCCGCCCGCCCGGCTGTCTGCCTGTCTGCGGGGGAAGGGGAGGGGGCGGTGGGCAAGCCCGGTTCTCTCCAGCTGCCGCGACATGCACCTGTTACCATCGAAACCCAGAAGGGGCGCCCCGCGCGACCCAACCCCGGACGCCGCCGCCTCCCCACTCTCGCGCGTGGTTGCATAAGCGGTCAGAGATGAAAGTCTCCGCCAACCTCAACCTCAGCCCCTGCCTCCTCCGGACCCCCCCTCAGGTCAGGAGTCCGGGGAGGGGTGCTTGGGGGGGGTTTAATTCCGAGGGGATTTCTCCCCCCCCCCACCCCCCCCCGCGCCGCCACTGCTTTTCCTCCCCCCCCCCCCCCCCCCAGCTCCAGGCATAAGGAAAAAGTCTTTGAAGTCGTAAGATCTGGGCGGTGAACGGTTTGGATGTCCTCAGCAGACCCCAACAACCCCCACAAGGCTCAAATGGCTCTGCCCAGGAAACATTTTTTTAAATTATTATTATTATTATTATTTTTTAAAAAAGGTCCCTCCGGGACATCTCCAAGCCCTCCTTACCCTGGGTTAGATCGGATGTACCTATGGTAAATATTAGATGCCACCCACATTCCCCATTATCTTTTCTTCACTTTACATAAGCTCAGTTCTTGGGAAGCTGTTAAGATGAGTTCCCAGGGCCTGGTCAGCTGGATTTGCACTCTAAGAAGCAAAAAAAAAAGGCAGAAGTAGGCCATGGAAGAGGAGAAATGGAAATGGCAGTGATGCCAAGTGGAATATTATCCTATTTTCTGGCTGGAGACTTTCTTCCAGTGTGTTATCTTCAAAACCAACAGGCAAAGTTTCCTGATATTTGGGGGTTGATAAAAACACCCAATATAAAAAAGGCACTTCCTTCCATCTACCTTAACCCAAACAGGTCCAAAGGCCACATTTTTGTTCTCTTCCCATTCTGGTGAATCACCTCCCATCATCCACAGCTGAGTGGTAATGGTTTATGAGAGCTGGAATCTAATACTTAAAGAAATCCGACATAACGCTGGCTCACATATCCTATTCAGTGCTATTTTGCTTTAGTTATGATTGTTGAATAAGCTTCGGTAGCTTCAACACATGGGCTAAGCTAAAGCCATAAACCATGATTTGTAAACATCAGTAGCTGGATATATGTAACCTACGTTAAACCGGTCATATAATGGTTTTAGAGTGATAGATGAATCTATTTATTCATATCTTGTTCTATGTATACTTTGGCTGAGTGGACAGGAATAATAGTGGGGTTTTTTTTAATCTGTCCAAAACGAAAGTAAAACATGGCTTAAGATAGGCTTGGTTTCACAGGCTGTCCTCCTGCTATTCAACTAATCAAACAAGTTTTGCAGGTTTTTTTTGAAATAGATCCAAAAAACTGTAAAGCTTCCCCCCCCCCACCAGCTATGACGCATGTATATATCATAAGGAAGGGTCATTTTCTTGAATTTTTTTCAGAACTGTCCACCCTCGTAACTACTTAGCTTTATTCTTTTGAGCAAAATAATATTCTCAGCTATCCTTACGATTGTTCCTATGCTTTCTCAATGCAACCCCCCCCTTGCCCTATTCCCTTTGTTCCTATCCTATCCCCTTAGAAATAATGTCCCCCCCACCGCATAAATGTGAACCCACATAAAAAGGTTAATGTCATGTTTCATATTTATTCTAAAGCAGGAACAACATCCTCTATTCCTGCATATATATGCACAGTGAAAATGCAAATGTTGTAAAATAAACAAACAAAGCCTCGCTTAAGATCTAGGTCAGTGTTTCTCAATCTTAGCAACTTAAGTTGTGTGGACTTCAGCTCCCAGAATTCCCCAGCCAGCATAGTGAGAATTCTGGGTGTTGAAATCCACACATCTTCAAACTGTTGAGTGTTTGTCTGGTGTTAAGAAACACTGGTCTAAGTGCAGAAGACAATGGCAATGAGGTTCAGTGGTAACTGGGATCATTCCTAGAGTAGCCTTACCATTGATTGATTGATTGATTGATTGATTGATTGATTGATTGGTTCGATTTATATGCCGCCCTTTTCCGGAGACTCAGAGCAGTTTACAATGCGTTAAGCAATAGCCTTCATACTTTTGTATATACCTGCTTAGTAGGGCTTTCAGGCCCCCTCAAACAAAGTCATCTTATTGCCCCCACAAATCGGGTCCTCATTTTACCTACCTCAAAAGGATGGAAGGCTGAGTCAACCTTGAGCCTGGTGAGATTTGAACTTGCAGTAATTGCAGGCAGCTGGTGTTACTTAACAGTGCTTTAGTCTGCTGTGCCACCAAGGCTCTTGGTGCTCCATTGAGATGGGCAGCAGCTTACTCATTATATGTGGGTGCATTTGTATTCCTTATGTTGGAGCCAAACAACCAAACCTATGTTCACTAAGTTAACATTAATCTCCCCCTCCAAAAAACCCCAAAGAAACCGTAATGGACCATTTTGGCCTACTCCCCTTAAAGTAAGAGCCATTGGCCAGTAAAGTCAGTATAAAACAAATAGGCCTATGGGCCACCTCTAGACGAGATGGGCAGCACATAAATCTAATGAGTAAACAAACAAACTTGGCTACAAGGTAAGCAAGCTCTTTTTGGTTAACCTTGGCTGTTCTAGTTACATGTTGAATGCCATATTCTGACAACCAATGCTGCTCAAATCTTAGACCCATCGGGAAGGTGCAAAGAAGAAATGGATGTCCTGACCTGAACAATTAGGATAGGAAAAAAAATGTGCCTCTTATTTTATCATTGTTCAGTATTTTGCAAGCTTTCCTAGAAATGTGCACCTGATAGTTACATCGATTTGAAATGACAGGTTTTTAGATAGCGTAGAGAGACCATAAATACTTTCTTTCCCAACTGTGAGAGATGGAGAAAGATACCCAAGTGATAAATCTTGCACTGCTTTTTAGAAACCTTGGTTGAAAAATTCAGCTTCTTAGTTTGGGTGAAAGGGTGATGATCATATCAGAATATCGTTGTATGTTGCCCACTTGAGAGTAAGTTAACCTAGTATTAAGGATAGAAGAGAATAATTGTAACTCAGGGTTGAACTTGTGGGGTTCTTGGTGCTCTCTGAGCCTGGGATTTTTTTTTGCAGACATTTCATTACCCATCAGTGCAACATTAGTAATTTACTACTCTTCACTCCTTATTGTTTTGGTTAGTTCCATCACTGACTTGTACAGCATCTAATGGGGTGGGCACTTATTTTCAACATAATGGATGCTTTTGGTTTGTGGTGTCCTTTGGGTTATGTTGCGCCAATTAAACCTAATAATTCTGCTATCTTTTGGACTGTGAGCCTTTGGTTAACTGTTGTGAATGTTAATTTCAGCACAAGTGGGAGCTGTAATAAAAATGTTCTAGTGTTCAGTATACTAGCCAGGTAACCAATTAAGTGTGACCTTTTCGTTGTTGTGTCATTACTTCCTATTCCTTGGTTTTCTATCCTATTGTAGGAAACATTATTCTGGGGTCACTAACCATGACGCTTCAACTGGATTGAATTGTTCTATTGGATTCTCTCTCAATCAATCTCTCTCTCTCTCTCTCTCTCTCTCTCTCTCTCTCTCTCTCTCTCTCTCTCTCTCCCTCTCCCTCTCCCTCTCCCTCTCCCTCTCCCTCTCCCTCCCTCCCTCCCTCTCTCTCTCTCTCTCTCTCTCTTCCCACAGTTGTTACCATTCTCCACACCTATGTTAAGCTCTATTATAGTAGAGGATTTTTTAAATTTTGCTTTCATACAGATTGGTCCTCTGGGAATTAACTAGAATTGGGCAACTTACAGATTTCCAGATTTAACCCAGTGATGGCGAACCTTTTATGCACCGAGTGCCCAAAATGTGCATGCACGCCCAAACTGCAAGGCGCAGGTGCATGCGCAAGAACCCTACCCAAACTGCATGCATGCCCCGCTGCGCATGCACAGCAGAGACCAGCTGGCTGGCGGGAGGCACATGCACATGTGCGGCAGAGAACCTGAAACAGAGTTGGGGCGATGGCGCGCGTGCCCACAGAAAGGGCTCTGTGTGCCACCTCTGGCATGTGTGCCACAGGTTCGCCACCACTGGCTTAACCATTCACTCTACTGATTGACTTAGATCAGGGGTCTGCAACCTTAAACACTCAAAGAGCCATTTGGACCTGTTTCCCACAGAAAATAAAACACCGGGAGCCACAAAACCCTTCCCATGCCTAACTATTTCTTGAGCGGCCACAAAACTAGCATATGAAGTTGAATTAAACATTCTGTTTTCTTCTGAAACTTTTCTTTTCTTGGATTTATCCATGGTTGGCCTATCGGGGGTTGAAAAGCTCAATGAATTGCATGCCAGTGGGTGTCGCACATTGGCGGTTGTGACGCATATTTTGAGTGACAGGGAGCTGCAACAGAGGGGTGAAAGAGCCACATGCGGCTCCAGAGCCGCAGGTTGCTGACCCCTGACTTAGATGGAGAATTAAAGTGTACCTGCCAAACTATGTTCTAAATAAATGCAGAGTTTGGAAAAGAAAGGAGCCCTAGGTAGTTCAAATTATTTCAAAGATGTTTGAGTGTAGTGTGAATTTTTGCAAAGACTTTATGAAATGCTTTTTAAAAAAAAAAATTACACCTCTTATGGAGAATATCCAGAACGTGATGAATGTTGACAATCCCAGTTGGTTCTTCTACATACAGTAAATACTCACAGCCTCGGCTACACATGTCACATGTGAACATTGACAGTCCTTAATAGCTTTCCAGATAACAATTTTTATTGCCAGCTTCAGCTAAGACTTGACTTACCCCAACCTTCTAGTTGATGGGAGAAACCAGGTGCTGATGTTAGGTGCAATCAGTTTCTAGCTTTTCACAATCTGTAATGAAAAGCTCCATGGGGGGTTTGAGATATTGCTTTAGAAAATTGATGATGGAGCAAGATTAGATATTAAATGCA